CATAATATCACGTCTTTTAGAATAAATTTATAAAATACCTCAAAAAGGTCAAGTGAAGTTTCATTTGTGATTACTCTCAATTTTAAAGATTTAGGGAGCAATTGATATCTTTATAAGATTATGATCCCCTCCAAGAACGCTCTTCATTATCTGAAATCATATTCAATAACTGCTTTTTAGAGTTTTACATTTTTATGAATTCTTAATTAACTTAATCATTAGATACATTATGAATTATTGGCTACTATAAATAATATCTAATTTTTATTGGATTTCTTATTGAATATTGTAGTGTAGGGAAATGCTCTTCATCTTTCTAATAGTTCTTTAGGTTGAAAACATTGATCAATTATTTTTTATTGTAAAAGTTTGCTTTTTTTTTAAAAGATTCATTTATTTATTTATACAAGCACTGGGTACAGTCAGAAGCGTGGGAGGGTGGGAGAATTCACCAGCGCCAGAGCGGGGAACAGAACAGGCAGACCGACGAAATACACTGCTGAGGGGAGCAGTGGGCGCAGCAGGAGAGGTCTGTGCACCATGTGGGACCCTCGTGCCGGTGGCCAGGGATCGAACCTGCGCTGCAGAGGCTGTGGGCAGCTTCGCAGCCCAGCGCTCAACCGCTGCACCACCAGGGGAGGCCCTGCTGTTTTTTTCTAAGTAGATTATGATATGATCTGCAAATAAACAATATTTTCATCCAGTCCTTTCACTTCTTTTTCTTCCTTTGTACATTAGCCTGAATGCCAGTGCTATGTTTACCTAGTAATTAGAGTAAGCCTTCCTATCTTGGGCACCTAAGATTTTTCTATTATATATACTGCTTGTTATACATATTTTTGAATTTAACTGTACCAAGATAAGAAAGTTTTATTTGATTCCTAGTTCCTTAGCTGCTTTTCAAAAATTATAGTTGAATATATAACTTCATAAAAAATACCTCTTATTAGTTGGTTGAGAAAAACAGATTTTTTTTAGTTGACAAATATTGTGAATTATTGTAATATATTTTATTATATTGAAACATTGCTGCATTCTAAAGATTTCCCATTTGACCTTGGTATATTAATATTAATTTTAATACTGTTGAATTCAGTTTATACATAATTATTTGTTAGTTTCATGCATGGTCAAGGTAAAATGAGTCTATTTTTTCCCCCTGAGTTCTCTATACCTCAAATTGGAATGAAATTATGCTAGACTCATAAAATTAGCTGAGCAGCTTTAAATTTTCTATTTTCTGATGAAAAGTACCTAAGATAAGTTCCTTGAATGTTTGCAGGAATTCACTTGTGAAACCATCTGGGCTTTTAAATTTTATTATTTTTATCAGAAGTCATTTACAACTTTTCCCATTTTTTTCAATCTTTATTGGTATAGTCAAATTTTGTTTTTCCTTATGTTAATTTTGGTAAATTTTTGTAGGCATTTACCTGTCTCATCAAGGTTTTCAAGTTTATTAGCATATACTTTTCACAATACTGTTTATTATGTTTCACATCTCTGTCTAGCTATAACTCTACCCCCCTTTCATTCTGTATTTGTTAATCATTTTTCTCCCCTTTATTTGTGGTCAGTTTTGTTGTAAGTATGAATAGCTGACAACTTTTTCAAGACGCAGTTTTTGGTTTTGTAAGTCTTCACTCCATAGTTTTTGTTCTCTTAAATTGCTTTCTGTTCTTATCTTTATAATTTCCTTCCTTCTTATTTCTTTAGGTTTGCTCAACTACTCTCCTTTTCCAAATGCCTAAGAAGAAATTTTAGGTCATTTATTTTAGTCTTTCTTTGTTCTAATAAATTTGAGGGCATAAAATTCTTTCTATGTAATATTTTAGCTGTGTCCCATGAAATTTGATATGTAACATTTGTACCACCTGGTTCTAAATGAATTAATTTCCTTTATGACTGACTTTTTTTTTTCCTGTCTCACCATTTTTTATTTTTTACTTTTTTTATGAAAAAATTTAAAAACAGGGCCTCCCCGGTGGCGCAGCGGTTGAGCGCTGGGTTGCGAAGCTGCCCGCAGCCTCTGCAGCGCCGGTTCCATCCCCGGCTGCTCCCCGACCACCGGAGGAGGGTCCCGCATGGCGCGCAGACCTCTCCTGCCGCCCGCTGCTCCCCTCAGCAGTGTACTTCGGTCCTTCTGCCTGCTCTGCTCCCTGCTCTGGCTCTGGTGAATTCTCTCACCCTCCCGCGCTTCTGACTGTACCCAGTGCTTGTATAAATAAATAAAGTAAATAAATAAATCTTTAAAAAATTTTTTAAAAAACATATAAATACAAAGCAATCAGTATAACAAACTCCTATGTACCCACCACTCAGCTAAAATAATTTAATAACATAATTTGCTAAACTTTCTCAATCATGTCCACCTCATTTATATTTATAAAACTATTTTAAAGCAAATCTCACACCTAATACCACTTACTCTGTTTATTCCTCAGTATGTATCATTAACAGGCAGGTAACAAATCATCAATATTTTGTTCAAATTTTATGATCATCTTATATATATATTTTTGTTTGTTGTTTAAATCAGCAATACCCCTGCCCCTCAACCTCTAAAAACACCCAGACATAGTTAATATGTCAACAATCACTTATAATCTGCAATAGTTTCCTCTTCCCACTCTTCTTTATCTATGTCATTTCTTTGTTTTAGAAAAAAATCATGTTTATGACTGACTTTTAATCCATATTATTTACCAATATTTTGTTAGTTCGCAAACCATGAGAATTTTAAAATATCCTTTCATTATCAACTTCTAATTTTACCACAGTTAATCTGGCTTTTTCTTTGCTGGATAATTCATATTATATTTCAGTAAACGTTCTGAGTGACTTGAAAACACACATACACAGGCTTATTTTTTACAATGAATCTTTTGAAATCTTGTACCTAATTTCATTTCCTTTGCTTTCACTATCCTGTAGTTCAGAGTCAATTGCTTTTTACCTAACAATAATCAGCTGATAAATACATGTCCTGTTAAACTGACTCTTTTGGGGGAAAAAAACCACAAAAAGTCCTGACTGATAGCATTGCTGGTTTCTGTAATATAAATAATGCTCCATGACAATATTAAGCTACAAATGGTCAACAAATGACTTGCAAAATTCCTGAATATTTTAAAATCTAGTGTTTTAGTGTTAGCATAAGACAGTTCCAGCACAACATTAAAAATATATATTCATGTTGTTTATTGTTAGCTGTGTATTAGGTTTACCTCAAGGCTTCATTTATTTTCTTTATTTTCTCTTTGCCCCAATTTCAAGGCCCTTTTTTTTTTTAAAGTGCGCCTGTCCCTTTAAGGTGTTATAAACCCTTTTTGAAATGAGGAGCATAAGGACAAAATTCTTTGGCAAGAAAGAAAAAGACAGTTTTTGGGTTTCAAAAAGTTGAAATCTTACCTCGGTCCTCAGTCTTTGCTCTGCTTTTTTGGGCACATTGCTCACTTATGCAGCTCAGGCACCACCAGGACTCATGGGGGTTCACATTTAGAGTTGGGGGATTCCCTTCTCTAGCTGGGGATTCCCTTGTCTAGCTAAGCTCTGGGGAGATTCCTTGCCTCCTACCCATATGGCCCTTTTCTTGGTTCCTCAGAAACTTGATCCTTCTCTTAGAGATTAAGCACTTGCTGCTGAGGCTGTCCAGCTCTGCACCCCAGGCCTGATGGTGGGGCTAAGCCCCGACAGGAGAGAGGGGAAAAATGGCAATCCAGGTCTGGGACAGTTGTGTCCCCAAGTTCTGACTCTTCACAATCCACCTGCTGGTTTCTTTTCTGGGGTTCTCAGTACTTGCTCCTTATCACCTGCCAGTATCAGGTTGTGATCAACAGGAGCGATAGGCTCTTAAACTGTAATTTTAAATTTCAAAATAAATATCATGGTTTAAAAGAACCCAGTATCTAGAAGTTTTAGATCCCCCCCCCCCCACACAAAACCAAACATCCTCTTTAGGGCCTAGGGTTGTTTTGGAGTATTCTGAATTTGTGTATTAGCCTGAGATGGAGAAAGAAAAGCAGACAGAAGCTTCCTGCGTGGCCTGCCATTATTTTATTAAAGGTATGCTCACTTAGCAAACTGGCCCTGAATGCCAGAATTTCAAACCACCACAGAAGTCATTCAACACCTCCACTTGATAGAGGAGGAAGTGAGACCCACAGAAGGGGGGTGATTTGTCCTGCTGATCGGGAGGCACATGGCAAAGATGGCCTGGGAAGTGGCTCGTTTAATACACTGAAGACATCCAGTAACCACCCTCTAAGTGCCAACTAATGTGCTGAGCTAACTTTTGCAGGTTTCAAAAAGGAGATGATGCATGAAGTTGAGGGCATAGAGAGTTTATATAACAGGAGAGAAAAAGCATATAGTAAAACTAAACCCCAGAGCTGTTTTTGAACTTGAAATGTGGTCTAGTGACTTACTCTTTCCTTTATAGAAGTAGTAATAGTACTGATGTAAGTACAAACAGATAAAGTCTGGGTTCTAAGAGACAAAGTTTATAAGCATTTAGTTAATGCCTGGTTCAATAAATGTAGCTTTTTTGGGGATTATTTTTATTATTCTTTGAAATTCACAAGTGATCCCAGAATATTTAAGCATTTGCCATGCTTTGATCTCCAGGGTGAATGAATGCTTGATGAATGGAATTCTTTTACAAGAGCATTTATTGGAGCCCTCAGCTCATTCATGTGTCTACCCACCTATCAGTCTAGCTTTAAGGGAATGACTCCCTACTTCTCACCTTGCACCCTCACCCTTGGGGGGTCAGAATGAGAACTTTATCACTTCTGATATTTCAAAATCACTCAATACCTGTCACAGTATGTATAGGATTCTTTCTAGTATGTCCACCCCCTCCTCCGAGAAAGGTGTTTTAGGTCTGGGGGTAAAGGAAAAAAAGGGTTGTGCTGACCTCTGGGAGGCAAGAAGCCCCTTCCCCAGGCTTCCTCTCCCTGAGCACTTGTCTCCCATTGACCAGACCAGGTTGTGTTCTCAGATTCTTTATTACAAAATAAGAAAGGGAAGTCTGAGGAGATTCATTCATCATAGAATTTTGGCAGGTCGTTGCCCAAGATTACTTGATGATCCACACCGGCAGCTGTAATGGTGACCAGGTAGATGACACCCCCGCTCGAGCCATCCCGGTTCATGGCCAGAGCGATAGCTGCAAAGGGTTTCAGGTTGGAGAGTGGGAGAGAGAGTGGCTTAGCTTCAATGATCTTTCCCTTCCCTTCTGGCCCATACGCCTACTTCCATCTCAGACCCCACAACCCATCTCCTGGAGGTAATTAGTGATGTGTGGGAAAATCAGCTTTTAGAAAATGCCTTCATGTGTAGCATCTCCCAATGTCCATGGCCTCAGTACCCCCACCCCCAGGATCTATTTAAGTTAGAACAGCTTAACAATAGCTCACAAATTCTTGGATATTTATCAATCAACTCTTGAGCTGGCCCAGTCTAGCCCCAGCACATCACTGATTGTTAGGGTAACCATGGCCCTAATTGGTGTACTCAGAACAGTCCTGGTTCATGCCTCTTGTCTTGATGTCCCATCCAATTGTTCTGTTCCCTTTCACTCACAAAAGCATCCCAGTCTGGACGCTAAAGGAAATGGTCACCCATGTATTCCATGCTTCCTTCCCATATTAAAAACCATCCCTAGGTACCATTCCACCTGCTTTGTTACCATTTGTGGTGAAGCGTCTGCACTCCTCAGGGGACATGCCTGGTTTATATGATGCGTCCACATAACCATAGATGTAGATGCTGCCAGAGCCACCAATGGAAAAGGGCTGTTGCGTCAGCATTCCGTCCAGGGTTACGTACACCTGGGGAGGTGTACAGGTCAGACTTTAGAGAAGCAGACGATAGAAGTAACACTTGAACCCAGGAAAAGAAGATAATTGTTATCAGAGGGAATTGGCGAGCCGGTGGAGGATTGGGGATGGAGCAGATGAGGTATGGGCACAGGTGGTTTGGTGAGGGGAAAAGAAAAAAGAAAAAAGCTCCTTGACCTGCAGAAGGCCAAGTAGACAAAGCATGTGACAAAAGTAGAAAATAATGAAGTGCTAAAAACAGAGTGACACTGAGAAGAGTTCAGAGAAACTGATTTGTATTTACATTAGACATGAGACAGACAGAGCTTTAAGGGCAAATAATATTTAGAAAGCGGCAGAGGAAGTGATTCGTAGAGGTAAAAGGAAATAATATAAATTAGGCACTGTTATTGAGTGACTATGTCACACTAAAGAGAAAATAATTATATTTTGTCTAAGTAGAATAAAGGTTGCATGTTGAAAGTAAGACGCTATAGGGTTAAAAAGATTGTTTATAGAAATTTGGTACATCAAGAAGGTAAGAAAGGTAAAGCTTTGGTTTACTATTAAAGACAGTGGAGCACCACTACTGAGTCTTGAGCAAATATAAAACTGTATATTGAAAATTCCACTTAATAGTCATAGATTATAATAATGAAGAACAAAAAAAAAATCTTTCCTTCCCACTGAGACGAGCAGGTGGTCTCCATATTCTGCAGTGATGCCCAGTACCCCATGCCCCGTATGGTATGCTTTTTAGAGGCAGTCTTTGGAACTCATTGCAAGAACGACATATGACCCTCACTCCCTTCTGTAGGGGAGTGGGGAACCCAAAGGAGGGAGGGCATGTGTGGGAGAGACTCACCTGGCCCCCTTCCCGTTGGTCCCAGCCAGCTACCAAGAGATGTGCAGACAGGTCCTCCCGATATTTATAGGTAATGTTCTTCACCACGTTTGCAGCAGCCAAAACAAGTGGAGGTTCTTCCATTTCCATTCTGAAGGAAAGGATAGGCACAGGGTCAATACAACTGCCTCAAGCCCCACCCTTCTGTGCCATTTTCACCATCCCTTCCAAGTGACGCCTGAAACTATAGCTGCGACAGTTCAAACTCCAGCTCCCCTCCCACATGTATGGGGGAACCAAGTCTCACAGCACCACTTGGCAAGATTTCAATTGTTCCTTCCGTTACCCTGACCCCCTAATCCCCCCCTCACCCCAATGATGCATACTCTGCTGCAAGGGCCCTCCCCTGTGGGTAAAAGCAGGTATCTTTACTTCCTCATCCATGACCTTGACTTTTCACAGTTAACCCCCAGGTATTCTGGTGGCCACTTTGTCATTTTCTTCCTCATTATTTGTATTAGGATAGTGATTTATAGTTTTCAAATTGCCTTCACATATTTCATTCTCAAAATACCCATATAATGAGGTCTGGTAGGGACTATTATCTTCAGTTTACAAGATGCAGAAACCAGCTTTAAGAGGTTCAAGTGCTAGTTCAATGTAACATTTTGGGAGCCCTGCTGGTGTGGAGTGAGGTCCCCAGAGCTTCATACCCATGGAGTTCCAGCTGGTAGGCGGCCATGTCCGCCACGGCCTGGGCATCAGCAGCTGAACCTGACAGGGCACAGTAGATGCGCTGGTGCAGGGGGGACAGCTTGTCAAACACTCGGTCCACCACTGCCTGGCTGTCAGGAGGGGTCAATAGGTACCAATGTTAGAGCTGCAGGAATTTTTGAGGTTGATCATCCAGTGTTTCTCAACTTTATTGACAAGAGAATAGCCACAGAGTATATGAAAGTTAATGCTTGGAATAAAGCAGGAAGCAAAAAGTCACCTCACATAAATGAACCACAGCAAGCAATAACCAAAATTAGACATATTTTCAGGCTTAGATTTTTATAACAAAAGAAAAAATTATATAAGTTGAGAATGATGTTTTTTTTTATTGATTTTTCTTTGCTATTAACCATCTTGAAGTAGACTAATATAGATCTAATCCCACACACTCATTCTGCATGTGAAACACTTGACCAGGAGGGAGAAAGAGACAAAATCAGTTCAACTTTGATGATGGAATATTTGCTTATAGGACCATTGTTTCTATTTCTAAACATAGATGAAAGAGGGTCTTTCAGACCTCTATCCCTATCCTCTTCTCAGACCCTATTCCTCCCAGGGACAAGCCATATAAGCATTTTACACTTCTCCATGAATTCAGCGACTAAAACATGCAACCAATATCTTGCAATGACTGTTCTGGAAGGTTAACTCCATTTTTCCCAAGCTCCAATCGATTTATGAATGGGTAGGAAAAATGTGCATCGGGGGCCATTAAATTCTTTCCAAAAGCACACATGGTAACTTGTACTTACCCTGCAGACACCCGGGAATCGGAACCTATCACAACACCCCCGTCAAACTCTACTGCCATGATGGTTGTCTGCAGAGACACAGAGAATGCACTGTCAGCACAGAAAGAGCCTCGATCCCTTCATGTTACAGATGAGGAAAGATTCCCAGAGAGGGAAGGTCACCTGCCCAAGGTCATACAGTAATGTGGGCCAGAGCTGACTCCTAGTACAGGTTTCTCTCCATCTTCCCATTTTCTCTACTCTCTCTTGATGCTGCAAGGGAATGCCAGAGCCCAGGCTTGAGACAACACTGGAAAGATTGCATCCCTAAGACCTGGCCTTCTTGAGTGGAACCCTTTCCACTTATAGAGGTGGGATGAGGGTCCTAGAGGCACAAGTGTTCCCTTTCAGGGGAGGGCTCAGGGAGACGAACTTCCAATCACTGGTGAAGCAGCCCCAAAATTAAATGACCACCACTCCACGTGCTCATTGTGTGCACAGATATTGTATAGACGACACAGAGCAACTGTGACCTTGGGAAGAAAGCTCAGGTCTCTTTGAGGCCAGAATCTGTGGCCCCCACTTCCATTTAATCAGAAGTGAGCTCTTTTAGTTTATTGAACAACAAAAAGCATTGAGGGGGGTCACTGGTTAGTAAGGCCATGAGTTAAGGGAGGAGGGAAGCAGCAAGAACATGAGACAGTTTAAAATAAAAGTTTCACTTAAGGGTTTCTGATCAAGTAGGTAGGTGTCTTGGTAGCCAGGAGAAGAGATTTATACCAAGGTTTTGATTGGGAGTTTGAGTTGACTTTTCCAGGTCAAGAAAAGAAATTAAGGAAAGGAATTAAGGAAGAATAAAGTTACATATTTTCCCACCGTTGTGTTGGAAGGGGCCTTAAAGATGGCTCCATGGTTCAGGTGAAGAATCTGAGTCATAGAGAAGGCAAGTGCTTTGCGAAATTCACAAAGACTAGTAGCAGATCTAGGACTAAAAGTCAGGTCTAATTGCCACTGCTTGTTTTGACTTCTACTGCCTACTTTCCACTGCTCATCTGGCAGCAAGGGAAGATTTTCTAACTTATAAATGGTTTTACTGCTATCTTTTCCAGGCACCAAAAGTTACTCTGGCCCCCAGGGATAATTGCCTGAGTGTGCTTTCTGACACACGGATTTACCACGAACAGAATCTGGCCAGAGAACAAGGGCAACCTCACACAGTGGCTGCTCTCTTAAGAGAAAGCTGTCCTCAAGGCAGGAGCGGTGGCAGCAAGCTGGGTCTAAAAGCCAGTCAGCCTTGGGCTGCCACTGGCCCCAGGCACAAGCTGGGCAAAGTCCCCAGAAGGGTCTGAGAATGGGAAGAGGAAGGAAAGGAAGCGTGGCAGCACCTGGGCCAAGCAGGAGTCCTCTTTCCCCAAGCTCGGGAAGGCCCCACCAACTCACACGGAACCCTCATATCAGTGCTGGGGCCATGATATCCCCGCCCCAGAGGGACAGTTTATCAAAGGTCTGTGAGATGAGCTGTCTCTCTTCAATCAGTATCCACATTCCCTTCTCCCAAATGCTGTCCTCCTTCATCCAGGGCACCAGATCCTCAGTTTTTCACCTTCTCCAACTTGAATTAACAAGCCCCTCTCTCCAGTTCAGAATGAAAGCGAAAGCGCATTAAAACAGCTTCTCCTTGACGGCGGCAGCCGAGAGCCAAACCACCCCCTTCTCCAGCAAAAAGCACCCCCTTCGCCACCCCCTCATATGCGTGGTCCCTTCGCGGGCCCCCAGAAGATCCCCTTCAGAGCAGAGATGCCTTAAATTCATTGTGAGGAGCCAGCACTGGCGCTACAAGCCACCGCCTCACACTTTTAGACTCCACATCCATTCCTCGGTGCTTGCAGGGTCCCCCTGCCATTCCACCTTCCCTTCCCCGCTGCTAACCCTCAAACTCAGATTTAATTACCCCAGTGTGGACTTCTCCGGCCCGGGGCACGTCCCCGGTTGGTGCTCCCGCCCTCAGCATCTCTGCGCCGCTCTTCTTGCTGCTCGGGACACCGGTTCGCGACCCGGGACCGCGCGCCGCGCGCAGCCTCCGGCCCGCCCCGCACCACGCCCTGCCGCCAGGGGGCGCCGGGGGCCCCCGAGGGAGCCGCGCCCGCCGCGCTAACCTGTGTGGGGCAGACCTGCCCGGAGACAGGTGACGCGAGAGCCCCGCCCTGAGGCTGAAGTTAGAAAGTCAGTAGCGGGTGCAGGGAGGGGGCCACTTAGAGGAAACGGGGGGCTGGTGCCCGTGGTGGCGCCAAGGATGATCTGAAGTCAGGTCTGGCTTCAGCGCCCTCTCCCGCAGCGGTCCCGGCGCGCGCGATCCCCAGTGGGCGGACCTCGTGGCCGGCGGCCGCTTTCGCTTTCCTTTCCCGTAAACGGCTCCCTTCTGGGCAGCGCGGGCTGCGCGGGTTCCCGGGACTTCCCCAGGGCCCCGCCCCGGCCGCCCGTGGGAACCCGGACACCGCGGCGCCCAGACCCCTGCTCCGGGGTGCGACGCCCCGGGCCCGCGCGCGGATGGCCAGCTCGGGGAGGCCGGCGCCCGGCGGGTGCCTCTGCCCCTCCCGGGCGCCCCTCGCGTGCCTGGGCCCCGCGCTGCTGCTGCTCGCCGACCTGCTGCTGCTGCGGCCGGCGCTGCCCGGGGTCCTCTCCCTGCTGGTGCCCACCGCGCCGCCGCTGTCCCGCCTCTGCCTGGTGGGCCTGAGCCGCTGGGCCGCGCTGTGGCTGGGGGCGCGAGGCGTCCTCTGCGCGGCGCCCGGCTCCGAGGGCGCAGGGGTGCCGGGATGGCCGGCTGCTGGGAAGCCGCTGGCGGCGGCGCTGGGGTTGGCCCTGCCTGGACTTGCCGTGTTCCGAGAGCTGAAGTCTTGGGGGGCCCCCAGGGTCTCCGACAGCGCCGAGCTCCTGCACTGGGGAAGTCGCCTCGACGCCTTCGCCCTCAGCTACGCGGCTGCACTGCCCGCGGTCGCCTTGTGGCATAAGCTCGGGAGCCTTCGGGCGCCTGGGGATCCCGGGGGTTCTGGAGACACGGTTCGTAGACTTCTGGGCTGCCTGGGCTCGGAGATCCGCCGCCTCCCACTCGTTTTGGTTATGCTGGTCCTCTCCTGTGTCGGTAAGGGGGCTGCGGAGAAGGGGCTGGGGCTGGGGGCTGGGGGCAACCAAGATCAAGGTCAGCAGGGCAGACTGGTGTGGGTCTGGGAACCCAGCCCGGATCTTGAGGAGACCCTCCCGTGTGGAGGAGAGAGTGCTGGACGCCTGTGTGACCCTGTGAAGCTGCTTCACTGAGTCCCCCTTGCCTTTGTGGCCTAAGGCTCCAGCTTAGATGGAGAGTATCTCACTCTCAGAGATGATGCCAGAGGAGCTCACTCCATGGTCTCTAGCCTTCTAATGAAACCCCTAAAGATCTGGTGCAAACACAACATTGTGTTTCAGGGTGGCCTGGCCTGTTCAGTGCAGGGATGTGACCTCAGGGTTGTCCTTCTCTGCAGCCTCCCAGGACAATAGCGAGTGGTGGAGGAGGGGTGGCTGGGACAGCCTGGGTGGAGCTGAGCTGCTTACAGTTGATGTTTGTGAGTGAACCATCTCTCCTCTCCCTCCCCAGGGGAGATGGCCATCCCCTTCTTCACCGGCAGACTCACTGACTGTATTCTACAAGATGGGGCAGCCACGGCCTTCACCGAAAACATAATTCTCATGTCCATTCTCACCATAGCCAGGTCTGGGGGCTGAAGATGGAAACTGGGAATGTGGGGCCCTGAGAAAGAGGGAGTTGGGGCTGCTGTCCAAAGTGCACTTCTGCAGGGATACCTGGGACGTACTCTGTCTCCTGAACATGCCCTAACCTTCCTTTGCTCCAACTCTCCTTAGTGCAGTGCTGGAATTCATGGGTGACGGGATCTACAACAGCACCATGGGCCGTGTGCACAGCCAGTTGCAGGGAGAGGTGTTCCAAGCTGTCCTGCGCCAGGAAACAGAGTTTTTCCAACAGAACCAAACAGGTTTCACATGAAACTCACTCTACATGGCTATATCCTTTATATCCCCATACAACCTCTTTTACACATAGCCTTGCTGTGTCTGTTCTCTTTCTCTCTCTCTCTTTTACATAAGCACGCACACATACACATAAATGCACACGCTATTTCTTATTCTTGCTACACATCAAGAGCAAAATACCTTCAGAAAGACTTAATTTTTCCAGCCAAGGTTTTCCGCATAAATTTATTCCTATATGTGTAGTTAGATAGAAACCACAGAATTTCAAATATGGAAATTTTGAGATCACAGAGTCTAACTGCCTTATTTTATAGTGAAAGAAATTGAGGCCTGAACCCTAATGCTGAAACTTCCTGTCACATGTGACAGAAGGAAGTGGAGGGAGACCCCTGGTGTTCTGACTCCCAATCCGGTGCATGGCACAGTTTCCTAAACTGCATTCCCGATGTGCCCACCAACTCTATTAAATGACCAGTTTATTAAGCTCTTCCCACCTTCCACACCCCACCTTGGGGTGTGTACAGCATCGGATAGGCAAGACACAGAAATCTGTCAGAAAAACGGAAATTTACATGGGTATTGATTTCCTTATAGTTAAAATGAGGGGCCTTGGCCAGGCTTTTCTGCTCTAGCACTCATCCTTCCTGCACTGAGATTCCCCAAACCTCCCTCTATACCTCACCATTTTCCCAGCCTCCTTAGAATGCCATGTTGACACCTCTCCCTGGCATTCTTGCCACTGCTAGTCTCCCATCCACTCTGAACCTCTCATTCACTCCGCTCTCTTCTCCCCAACTCCTGGCAGGTGCCATCACATCTCGGGTAACAGAGGACACGTCCACCGTGAGTGAGTCTCTGAGTGAAAGGCTGAGCCTACTGCTGTGGTACCTGGTGCGGGGGCTGTGTCTCTTGGTGCTCATGCTCTGGGGGTCACTGTCCCTCACCATGGTCACCCTGGTTACCCTGCCTCTGCTTTTCGTTCTGCCAAAGAAGCTGGGAAAATGGTACCAGGTATGTTCAGGCCATTGGCCCAGGTACACTGGTCTCCATCTCCCGGACTCAGAGGGCTCGGTTCCTCTAAGATTTCTTCCTAACTTTCTTGGCACACTCCCTGATTGTGCATCTTGCTGGGTCTCAGATTGCTCACAGCTGACCTTTACATTCTCTGTGTCTTTTAACTTCAGACCACATCTGTCTTTAAGGATACGATGATCAATTTCAAGGATGTGACCCCTGACAGCCCCTATGAGTCATTTTCCAAAGAGATACCTTAGTATCTCTTTAGTCTTGGGGTGTGCCTGTGTCCCTTTCTTTTTTTTTCCTGTCCCTCTCTCCCTTTTCATCTTGAATCTCCAACCAGGTAACTCAGACACTAGTGTCCCTTATGGTTTTCCAACCCTCTGTGACATCTCTTGTCTATGTCTCCACAGTCACAGGCCACAAAGAAGCAGGAATCTCTGGCACAGGCCAGCCAGGTGGCCATCGAGGCGCTGTCTGCTATGCCTACAGTCCGGAGTTTTGCCAATGAGGAAGGAGAGGCCCAGAAGTTTAGACAAAAACTGCAGGAATTGAAGACACTCAGTCAGAAGGAGGCCCTGGCCTATGCATTCGACACCTGCACCACCAGTGTGAGCACCTGGGGACGCCTGGGTCCATTCCCTTTCTCTACTCCACCTCTGGGTGGTGGTTGGTTTGGTGTCTTCGTCTTATCAACCTGAGGCCCAGTTAGCCCACTCAGTGTGCCTCACCTGCTCCCTCTGTTACACACGGTGGTCTGCTTCTTTTCCCAGCGCATACAAACTGGGAAGAGGCTATGTCTTTCAGTCTAGGGCCTTCCTTTGGCTCTCATGGTGGGCGTGGGGAGCCATGGATTCCTGCGCCTGGGCCTGCTTCATGTTAGGACTGTGTGGGTGTGACAGCCACGGGAATAGAAGGAGCCAAGGATGAGGGGCATCTGTGATGTCACTGAAAGAGAACTAGACCAGCAGTTCCTGGCTGATGCTGCTGTTCACTAGCTCTGGGACCATGGGCAAGTGACTTGCCTTCTTCAGATGGTTTCCTCATTTGAGAAAATGAGAGTGATATCAATTTGTTCATAGGGCTTTTGACATCAATAGTAGATGACATTACATTCATGAAAGTCTTTGGTGCAGAGCAAAGTGCTCCCCAAGCATGTGATGATGGTGTTGCTGACAGTGATGACTTGATCCCCACGTGAGGAGCTGGGTAGGCCCCCATGGGCTTGCTAAGGTTTAGTCTCCCTTTCTACCCACTGAGCCTGTTGCTGTTACTTAGGGGAAAGAGACTTTATATCCCCTTAAAACTAATGATTCCAAATCACCACCTCTAGTGTCTTCAACCACAATCTCATTTCCCTGTGGTCTCTGCACAGATCTCAGGGATGCTGCTGAAGGTGGGAATCCTATACCTTGGTGGGAAGCTGGTGACCAGTGGGGCTGTAAGCAGTGGGGACCTTGTTACATTTGTTCTCTACCAGATCCAGTTCACTACAGCTGTTGAGGTGAGCTCCCTCCGCTTCACTTCCCAGTGCTTTCCTGCCCCCACCCCAGCACCATCATTGTCACTTTCCTTCTATTTGCCCTTTTCATACCCCATAGCCCTGACAAGCAGATGAGTCTCTCCACTCCCTCTCACTTGTCATACCTCCTCCCCTTGCAGGTGCTGCTCTCCACTTACCCTAGTGTACAGAAGGCTGTGGGTTCCTCAGAGAAAATATTTGAATATCTGGACCGGATCCCTCGCTGCCCACCCAGTGGCACATTGACTACTTCAAGCTTGAAGGGCCTTGTCCAATTCCAGGATGTCTCCTTTGCTTACCCAAATCGCCCAGATGTCCCAGTGCTGCAGGTACACTCCACCAGGCCCTCCACCAGCCTCACCCTCCACTCTACCATCCTAAATTTCCTCCTGGACTCCGCCTGTTTAAGACCATGTACAGATCCTTCCCAACCCTTCAAAGGCAAAAGTGAGCATCATCTATTCCATAAGACTGCTCTAAACTTGAGTACCAGTTTGGACTTGCAAGGAGAAGGAGAGAAGAGGTTCTAGGGAGAAGAAGCATCTCACATCCTAAAGAATCGCAGAAGCAAAATCTGTGCCTCCCGTCTTCCGTCTTTCCTTCCCCTTTCCAGTTTTTTTTCATTTCTCTTATAGTATCTGGTATTTGGTGTGTGGCATAATGGTGCTTAGTTTTGCTCTTTCTGTGTCTCATCATCCACCTCTACTCATTTGGGGAGTAATCATTCCCACGGATGTGCATGTGGAGGGTAGAGGTTCTATTTTCCCAATTTCTCCTTTCTTCTCTGGAGTAAGACAATATGGTATGTAACAAGACAATGATGGTGTCAAGGTCAAGACAAGGCCTCTTACTGTGTGATTCTCTGAATTCCAGGGGCTGACGTTCACCCTGCGTCCTGGTGAGGTGACGGCCCTGGTGGGGCCCAATGGGTCTGGGAAGAGCACAGTGGCCGCCCTGCTGCAGAATCTGTACCAGCCCACCGGGGGGAAGTTGCTGCTGGATGGGAAGCCCCTTCCCCTATATGAGCACCATTATCTGCACACACAGGTGAGTAAAAATGTGGCCTGGGGGAGGGTGGACGCATCAAGTAAGAAGGGCATTTTCTGCACTATTTACAATAGCTAAGATATGGAAACAACCCAAATGTCCCCAAACAGATGAGTGGATCAAGAAGATGCGGTATATATATACAGTGGCGTTCTACTCAGTGATCAAAAAAGATCCATGCCATCCAACATGAATGGAGCTGAAAGGGATTGTGCTGAGTGAAATACATCAGAAGGAAAAAGATAAATATCAGATGGTTTCACCTATAGATGGAATGTAAAGAAACCAAACAAAGGATGAGGAAATAGAGGAAACTTGCAAGCTGACTGCAGATCTGAGGCATTCAGCAGGGGAGGAGGAGGGAGAGGGATCCAACTGGGAGAAAGAAGAGCAGAAGGGACTGTGGTGATGAATTCTAGGTGCTGTGTGGGTGAGAGAACTATGGGGACTACACCTGCGGGGAAAAATCAAATATTATACAAAAATGAACAATGATGTAAGAAAATAAATACATTTAATTTAAAAAAAGGGGCACCCTCACTGAGCATCCTCACTGAGCACTCTGAAAGGAGGGCTAGGGAATGATAGGCGACCTTGGGTGGTGATCAGGGTGTGGTCAGGAGACAGGGTGTGTGATTTTGTGATATGGCCTCAATGAAGATTTTGAGTCTTCAGTCTTTAGATCCTATGTCTCTCTGTTCTCTTTTCTCTAACTCTTCATCATATTTTGTCCTAGGTGGCTGCAGTGGGACAAGAGCCACAACTATTTGGAAGAAGTTTTCAAGAAAATATTGCTTATGGCCTGACCCAGAAGCCAACGATGGAGGAAATCTCAGCTGCCGCAAAGGAGTCGGGGGCCCACGGTTTCATCTCTAAACTCCCTCAGGGCTACAGCACAGGTGCTCTCTCCACTCACATGACACCTAGACATCTTTACCTTTACGAAACCCCACTAGCCATACTTTCATTCATCACTTCGTCTTGCCCCATGACATCAGTTTGCAGTGGTGCGATGTGGTTCCCATGACTCCTTCATCCTCACGTCTTCAGAGCTCCCTCTCCTTTTTTTTTTCTCTCCAGTCCAGTTGCATCCACCAGACCGTGTGTGTGTGTGTGTGTGCGCGTGTGTGTGCATGCATGTGTGTGCAAGTGAGCACGCTTACAGCTCTCACCTTGGCTCTTGTCTCTGCAGAGGTAGGCGAGGCTGGGAGTCAGCTCTCAGGGGGTCAGCGGCAGGCAGTGGCCTTGGCTCGAGCATTGATCCGGAAACCACGGGTGCTCATCCTGGATGATGCGACCAGTGCCCTGGATGCAGACAGCCAGTCACGAGTGAGAGAAGCATCTTCTTAATGCCTACATCCCACCCAGTCTTCCTCCACTCACCCTCCATCCGTGAAACTGACATTATAACTTTCCAAACCAGCCCTTGCAATTTTCCATTCCCATTAGCTTCTCCCCAAGATGCTTAGAACCAGTCAAAAGAGACTGTCCATAGATTCTGAATTTCTGCAGCTAAATATAAAGAAAAGACCATCCGAATACTATCAGTATTGAGCTTTTACTATGTGTCAGAAAGGCTGCCAGGCCATTTGCATATACTGGCTCTCTGAGTTATCCATCATGGTTGCTCAGGAGCTGGACGTTATGATCCTCCTTTTATAGATGATAAAATGGAGGCCAAGAAAGGTTGAATAACCTGCTCAGTGTCTTTCAGCTGTTGAGTAGCAGATCTTGGACCCCAATTCAAGTCTGCCTGATGTGAATGTTCATGCTCTTTATCACTAAGTTATACTCCCTTTAAAGAGAATATTAAAATGCCCAGCCCACAGGTAGAGGGGCAAGACTATTCAATATCCACTCTTTTCTTGTGGGTGACACTATAGGACTCTGACTTTTGTCCACCATTGCCACTTCATGTAAATGGCCCTTAACAAATCAAAGATTTGACAGAGAAGCACTCAGAGCTAAATCTTCCATCTCCTTGGAGTGGCTGGCAGAGGCAGCAGTGGTCCTGGCGAGGTCTATCCCAGCTCTGGTAACACAGATGTCTCCTGAGCTGGGCTCTGTCCCCAGCTCTGAGCAGGTCTGTGTCTCTTCTAGGTGGAGCAGCTCCTGTACAAAAGCCACAAGCGGTGCTCCCGATCTGTGCTTCTCATCACTCAGCGTCTCAGCTCCGTGGAGCAGGCTGACCACATCCTCTTTCTGGAAGAAGGCACCATTCGGGAGGCTGGAACCCACCAGCAGCTCATGGAGAATCAGGGACCCTACTACAATATGGTGCAGGCTCCTGGGGCGACAGGTGACCTAGAATGAAAGCCTTCTCAGACTCTCTCTAGAGTGGAGAGTTTGGGAACAAAGATCTTAGCAGCCTTGCAGAGTAGGCAGCTGCTTGTTGGGGAATTATGCCTGAAATTCTGTGGTATGTGGCCTGAGTTATGCCTGAAACTTTGAAGTGTGGGGCCTGCGTTATGGCCGAAATTCTGCCAGGAATGCTTCCCCTCCCCAAACTCCTCCTCATAATGCAGGTTTCTTGAAAGAAAAGGGGGATTATGACTCCTTACTGTAACTGGGCGAAGACCCACGGCTGGTGTGGCTAACACCCTTGAAATCAGAGATATTTAGACCACTAAATATTTAAACATTTAAATATTTGGAAAGTAGTGGGATCTCTACTTTCCAATATGACCAAGGAATATGCTGGCCCCCAGATACCCCGTGGGCTCTTGGGCTTTTGGTTTTCCTAATAAAAGTGGTGTTTGTACTTTGCTTTGTCGTGTTTTTCCCCTCCCCCCACCCCCAAATGACTCACAACCTCCCTGCACCCTTTCAGGAGCGGGCCTGGGCGCCTTTCAGCATCTTCGGAGTTTTCAGAGCCTTCAGCGCACTATCTTCTTCCTTAATTTTTCTGTTTCCTATAGTTATCCCCTCGCTTCCCCACTCCCCGCCAAAGATGGGTTGGAAGGGGCTGCAGGGCCCTCGGGGCACCAGCGGCTGCCGCTCTGAGCCTTGGCCTAATCTGAGGTGGGAGTTGGAGGGCGCAGGTCGCCAGGGGAAGTGGGAGCGCCCCGCCGAGGAGCTCACACTCCCCACCTCATCACCCGCGTCCTCTCCCGCAGGTTCAGCCCCTCTGTAGAGGCGCCCGCGAGAGCGTCCCGGCGGGGTTGGGGGGGCGGGTGGGGCGGGGCGGGGCGGGCGGGCTGGGCGCTGGTTGGGCGCCCATCCTGTGACGCTCACAGTTGCTGGGCAGATTAGGCCAGCGCAGGTTGCGAGGACCGGCTGGGTTTAGCCGACCCTGACGCCCGGTGAGGCCATTACTCCGGGAGGTGCGGGGCCGACGGGACGGTTCCGGCGGGCGGCTAAGGGTGGAAGGGCGGGGCCTGTGAGGGGCACCTCCTCACTGTGCAGACGCCGCGCCCTCTCCTCGGAGTCCCTTTCCTCCACATGCCGCGCGCGGGCCTGTGGCCAGTTGCCCCAAGACAGGTGCTCTAGACTCAATGACCCCACGAACTCCTATTCCTCCCCGGCTTTTATGAAACGATGCCAATCTCATGCCATCCCCCCGACACGAAACTGAACCCCGCTTCTTGCAGACTTCCAGCTTTCTGGTTGGGGCCACCCCACCCTCGGTATCTGCTCGCGCGCAGAGGATGCCCCGGCAAGCTGGTGTCTCCCGTTGCAACCTCACAGCCAAGAGGCTCTCGAAGCCCATTCTCTCTCTTTCTTCCTTTCTTCTGACCATTTATCCCCGCTGTTTCCCCAATCTTCATAAAGGCGGAGCAGAGAAGCCGGTCCCCAATTTGATATTGCCGGCCCCAGATCCGTCCTGTAAAGGGCAGGGGGATGTGGAAAAAAATTCTGGTTCCCTCCCCTTAAGGCTGCAGGCTTTCGCTTTCACTTCCTCCTCGGAGACAGACGGATCCTCGGGTGCTTGCGGATCATGGCGCTGCTGGAGATGTGCGGAGCCCCCCGAGGGCGAGGGGACGACTGGGCATTCCCCGACGCGGGAAGCGGGCTTCGCTCGGACCCTGGACACTACACTTTCTCCATGCGATCTCCAGAGCTCGCCCTCCCCCGAGGAATGCAGGTCAGGGATGAAAGGGAAGGTGCGGAAGAGGGCGCTGGGGAACGGAGTGGCCACGCGGAGCTTCCCGAAGCCCTGGACCGCAGGAGGGACTTTGCTGTAGCTGGAGAGCAAGTGGCCTCAACCCGGGAGGCGGCCACGTGGGGATCCGGGCTGACTGCCCGACCTGAGCAAATGAGAGTAGGGCCAAAAGGTAGAGGAGAGGCGAGGGTTCCCATGGGGAAACAAGAACCTTCGCTGCATTTTTTCATCACATACATTTCACCAAGCGTTTCTCACGAGGCCCTCATAAGACGGGGACAGTGGAGTGTTCTGGAAAACCTATGAGCGTTGGCTGTAAGCCTGGCGGCAGCCACTCACTACTGTGTGTCCTGGGACAAGTGGCTCCATGCAGGTCTCAACCTCTGTTCTGCAAAATGGGGATACTACTAATAAACATGCTTTCTGAGGGTTAATTCCATTCTACGAATGGGAATGAATCCTTAAAATGTTAGCTAAGGCAATTATTTCCTCTCTTTTCTATTCCTTGGAAAATGGAAAAGGTTCCTGCAGATTACCTCTTCTTTTCTTTCTCTCATGTCACTTCCTCATAGAGGTTGGTTATAAACTGTTCCATTGTTGATGGCTGGAGAATTTCTGTGAGCTCCTCACTCCACACTCTCTAAGTCCCTGTTCTGGAGCCTCCTGCAGAAGGTTTCATGGTCCCTTCTTTTGCCTCTTCTCTCTCATTAGCCCACCGAATTCTTCCAGACCCTGGCCAGGAATGGAGAATGGGACGCGCGGAATGAGATGGTTCATGGTACCACCACGCTGGCCTTCAAGTTCCAGCATGGAGTGATTGTGGCCGTGGATTCCCGGGCCACGGCTGGGAATTACATTGGTGAGTGTGTATGTGTGTGTGTCCCATAGTAGAACCTGGTGCAGCAAAGTGCACATGGACATTGATTTAGGACACCCAGGGAGGGCTGTGTGGTCATTCCTTCTCTCTCAAAACTCCATCTTCTTCCAGCTGACACAAGGGTGAACAAGGTGATTGAGATTAACCCTTACCTGCTTGGCACCATGTCTGGCTCTGCGGCAGACTGTCAGTACTGGGAGCGGCTGTTGGCCAAGGAGTGCAGGTAGGCCAGGACTCTCATCTCCCTTCTAAATCTGCTGGTCCATCCCATCTTCCATCCTGGGTCTTTCAAATCACACACACACTCGCCACATCCCATGCTAATGCGGCACCTTAGTGCCAATGTTTTGGTGATGAAAAAAGCATTCTTTCAAATCTTTCTGTGCACCTGTCAATTATTTAGCACTGACACCATCAGTCTTGGTGGGAGAGTATCATTTACTAAGATTTCTTTATGTGGTTTAGATATTTAAATCCCAAATCCCTTCCTGATGATTAGATCCGATAAAACCATTCTTTTTCAGTGTGCTCGTCAATCATTTCCTTCCATCAAGTGGGTCTGTCAGAGACCTAACCTTTTCCTGCCACCACTGAGCTCTTTCTCCCCTAACCCTATCCTCACCAGGCTGTACTACCTGCGAAATGGGGAGCGGATCTCAGTGTCAGCAGCCTCCAAACTGCTTTCCAACATGATGTGTCAGTACCGGGGCATGGGCCTCTGCATGGGCAGTATGATCTGTGGCTGGGACAAGAAGGTGGGTGCGCTCCATGTCCCCAACCCTGTATGAGATCTGTTTCCCCATTGTATACTCTCACCTCCTCCCTTACAAGATCATGGCATAGAGAATGCTGGGCTGTAGAATGTTCTGCAGACCCACAGGCTGGCTCTTGGTTCAGAGGTGGAGCACTATATGTGTTACACAAGCTTGTCTCTTTTAAAAAGGCTGATTCCAAGTTTGTTTTTCCTTTTTATTCCTAAAGTTCTATAGTGCTACTACAGTGTTGTCCTAGTCCAGATGTTCCTGTGGTAATTCTTATTTTTTTGTCCACTTTTCATGCCTCACACTTAAGCCTGTGTGTTACTAACGATGCCCTCTCTGTTCCAACCTGGAACCTTCTCTCCTCCACAGGGCCCTGGACTCTACTATGTAGATGAAAATGGGACCCGGCTCTCAGGAAGTATGTTCTCCACGGGCAGTGGCCGGCAGTTTGCCTACGGGGTCATGGACAGTGGCTATCGGCAGGATCTCAGCCCCAAAGAGGCCTATGACTTGGGCCGCAGGGCTATTGTTCACGCCACCCACCGAGACAGCTATTCTGGAGGCGTTGTCAATAGTAAGAACGAACACTTCCCGGGGGTAGGCAATGGTTTTGTGGTTGGGAGACTCAGGGAGGCAGAGTGTGTGTGTGAGGGATGTTTCAGAATCAGAAGAGGGGCATTCAGAGTGTGAAGACAATGGCTACTCCATGTCCTTTCTCCTTTGCCTGTAGTGTACCACATGAAGGAAGATGGCTGGGTGAAGGTGGAAAGCACAGATGTCAACGACCTTATGGACCAGTACCGGGAAGCCCTTCAGTAGTGGTGGTGGCTGCCAGTAGCCTACGCGGGGAAAGCTGGTCTACTCAGGGACCTGGGCCAGCTTATGCCCCAGGAGAGGAGGGGCCTCGCCTGAGCCCAGAAATGGAGGACCAGCTGCCAGAGATGCTGGGAGGAGTTTATACTTTTGTGTGTTCTCTATTTCCAGAAAGACCTCCCTGCACTTTCTGGGGCGCCACAAAGCATAATAAAGGAAAAACGGTTATAAATGTCTCTGTTGTGGCTTAGTGGACTTGGAATGTGGTTGTTGGGGAGGGGGCAGGAAATAGAGAAGGTTTTCTTGAGAAGACTCAAAATCCTCACTAAGAAACAGGGCCTTACTGACTATTTCTCTGGGTTTCCTTTCCACACTCATCTCTCCAGGATCTCAGGAAGACTGACCGTGGTTGCTTGTTTATTATTGCAGTTTAATATTGGGGTCCTTCCTGTGGGGATATGAGCTGGAGACTGCTCCGTGGTTCATTGGTAATGGTTTGGGTGTTGGAAAGTAGGGCACCTGCTTTAGAACAATAGCTTTTCAGTTTGTACAGTTGGATGAAAAAGCTTCCAACACATATGTGTGTGGTAATTATAAACACAGGACCATTTACCTTGAATAACATTCAGGACAGATTGGATATTGAGTGCAAGATAGATATTAGAGGTTCAGTTTTACCCTGTGGCATGCTCAACAGAAGATGACAGGGTCATGACCGAAGAGATAGGTGATAAGGAAAACTCTCGTAAGGGAGGTGAGGGCGGAAAAAGTAACCATCTTAGAAAGTGAGATGGACATAGTGAGATTTTCTGAAGGGTGTTGGGACAGGAAAGAGCATGGGTGATCACCTCTCAGAGGAGAGTTAAGTTCAGTTAAGGAGAGGTTAAGTTTGAAAGTAGGAAGAGATCTTTAAAATCCCAGGATGGACAGGGTTGGGGAAACTTTAGGAATCCCCTACTTCAAACTCCACATCCCACCCTCAACTATATTTAAAGTTGAAATAACTTATTGGTAATCACACCAATAGCATTCAGGAATGGTTTGGAACTCAAGTGGTCCTTCCTTCGGGGATGTTTTGAGTATGGGGGATAGTTTCAACCTGCAGAAATATTTTTGGAATAAACAAATGTTCAAGTTTCAGGGATAGGCTGTCGGTAGGGTGGGACCTATAGAAACTTATATACTGTTCTCATTAATGATAAAATAGACCAAGAAACAAAGTCCACTTCCCTCTGATGTTGAAGGCCTCCCAACATATATTGGAGCATAACTTTTGAGGCATCTGAAGGTGAGCTCTGCCCAGAGTGTGGTGTGGAGAAGGACCAGGAAGGTAAAGGGTCAGGGCCTTCTCAGGCACAAAACTCTATGTAGAAACCTACTTAGGTGAGAGATGCTAGAGATTTCTATTTAGGAGAGGTGCTTTGTGTTTTTTGCTCAGAATGGGGCTGTTTTTACCCCAAGACCCTGCAAATGGGGGAAGAGGGCAGACAGTTTTCTAAAAACAGGTTCAGAGTCCGAGATAAGAAAATTCACTTCTAGGCCTCCCTGGTGGTGCTGCGCTGTGAAGTAGTTTGCTGCCTCTGTAGCACGAGTTCGATTCCCGGCGGCCAGGGAGATACCCACATGGCGTGGCTGACCTCTCCTGTCTAGCCCGCTGCTCCCCTCAGCAGTGTATTTTGTCAGTCTGCCTGTTCTGTTCCCCACTCTGTCTCTGGTGAATCCTCTCACCCTTCCGCGCCTGTGGCCTGTACTCCAGTTCTTGTATAAATAAATCGATCAATCTTTTTTTTAAAAAAAGAAAGTTCACTGTTTCTTCGATTACAACGCATCCCAGCTTATGAAAGAACTTTAGCATTTTTCTAAATCGCAGTCGTTTCCTATTACAGAGTAAGTGTTGCCAAAGGCTAGTAGTGACTCACAGGGGGCCTGGCTCGGGCCCCAGGAGCTGGGATCGGTTTCTGCGTCTGCGGGTGTCGCGCTCCCCCTTCTGGCCGCGCCTGGAATCAGGCGTTGCCGGGAAGCGAAAGCGAAAGCCTGGGCAGGGGAAGTGGAGCCGAGGCGGCGCGGGCGCTTCCAGCGCTTCGCCCTCAGCCTTTAGCCGGAGGACCCGGAGCCACGGCCGGTGAGTGGCTCACGTCGCACCTGGGCGAGGCGGGAGGACGCAGCTGGAGCCGCCGGGCCGGGGGTCTTTGCCCACCTTCCAGCGGGCTGCGGCTCTCCCCTGCCCACGCCGTGCCCCCGCGCCGGGTCACAAGGGGCCGTGGGGGGCCAGGGAGCCGGGCAGGCGGCGCCGGGCCCCTGGGAGCTCGCCGGCAGCGGGAGCAAGGGTTAAAAAGGACGGGGGAGGGCCTCCCCGGTGGTGCAGCAGGTGAGCGCTGGGTTGCGAAGCTGCCCGCAGCCTCTGCGGCGCCGGTTCGATCCCCGGCTGCTCCCCGGCCACCGGAGGAGGGTCCCACATGGTGCGCAGACCTCTCCTGCCGCCCGCTGCTCCCCTCAGCAGTGTACTTCGGTCCTTCTGCCTGCTCTGCTCTGCTCTGGCTCTGGTGAATTCTCTCACCCTCCCGCGCTTCTGACTACACCCAGTGCTTGTATAAATAAATAAATCTTTAAAAAAAAATTAAAAAAAAAAAAAAAAGGACGGGGGACCCGCGGCCGGACTCCCCGGCGCCCCTGCCGCAGCATGCCTTCCGCTGTAGGAGGGAGGTGCTGAGGCGCACGGGCCCCCAGGGTATCTTTCTGGGCAGGATGGGATACAACGAGAACCCGCGGAATGGATGGGTGGAATTAGGGTGGCGAAGTTGGGGACAGGGCCTGGGGCTCCGCCTCGCCAATACCTCACTTTCCACCCCCAGGTAACGCCATGCGGCTCCCGGACCTGACACCCTGGGCCTCCCTGCTGCTGGCCGATCTGGCCTTACTCTGGCTGCTCCAGGGGTCTCTGGGGTCTCTGCTGCCCCGGGGCCTTCCAGGCCTGTGGCTGGAGGGGGCGCTGCGACTCGGAGGGCTGTGGTGGCTGCTGACGCTGGGAGGGCTGCTGGGATGCCTGGGGGCTCTGCTGCCCCCCCTGTGCCTGGCGACGCCTCTGTTTCTCTCCCTGAGGGCGCTGGTCCCTGGGGCCTTGAGTGCGCCCCCCGCCAGAGTGGCCTCCGCCTCTTGGAGCTGGCTGCTGCTGGGGTACGGGGCTGCGGGGCTAGGCTGGGCCGTGTGGGCTGTGCTGAGCCGTCCCGCAGCCCAGACGGGAGACCAGGGCCAGGAGAACAACAAAGCCTTGATGTGGAGGTTGCTGAAGCTCTCCAGGCCAGACCTGCCTTTCCTCATCGCCGCCTTCATCTTCCTTGTTCTTGCGGTGCTGGGTGAGTCAAGAGAGGCATTGAGACTGGAAGGTGGGCAAAGACCCCTTGCGGTGCCTTCAACTGTATTCTCCCGCCTCTTTCAGGTGAGACATTAATCCCACACTATTCTGGTCGAGTGATTGACATCCTGGGAGGTGACTTTGACCCTCATGCTTTTGCCAGTGCCATCTTTTTCATGTGTGTCTTCTCCTTTGGGAGGTAGGTGATGGGCCATTGGGTCCTTTGCTGGCCCCCTTTCCAAGGACCCGCACTTTCCTACCTCCATTTTCAGACCCTTTTGTGCACAAAGCACCCAATACTTAGACTTAAATATGCATGGATTTAGTTACTCATTCTATTTTCACAGTATTTCATTCATTCCTCATTTCACCATATTTATCCAACATCTGCAAAATTTACATTCTATTACTGTAGATGGAAGCATGAGCAGATGTAAGAGAGGGGGCTTGGGTGTCACGGGGAAAGTCTCTTTGCTATCTCTCAATGTAGTGCCAGGATGGCCATTGAGCAGGTTTCTATGATCTGTGCAGACCAGGTAAAGGAGGAGTCCTGGAGCTCTCGGTGGCTTTCTCAGGCTTTTATTGAGCTTTACATGCATTGCAGCAACCAGGTACACAGCATACAGGGGTGCCAGGGGACCAGGAGGCCGGAAGGCCTCCAGGCCCCCAGCAAGTGGTCACTCTGGACTTCTGTCTCCCCTTCTCTCTCCTGCCTCTTCCTGCTTCTGCTTCTCTTGGTGACTATCTCAATACTCCTCCCATGGCCCACAGAAGTCAGTAAGACAGCTTACAACAATGTAACAACTGCGGGTTCCCCATCAGGCTGGGCCATCCTAATGGTGGGAGGGCAGAAAAGCCTGAAAACCATTTACCCTACACTGGACATGCCCTCTTCTTGAAACCAAATTTCTCTTTCCGGTCTCTTACCTCCCACCCAGCTTGGTTTCCCAAGTCAGGTTGGGCCTGTTTCTCCCTCCTGACCCTTCTTACTAACTCATCTTGTCAGTGGATGAAGATCTTACTCCGAAGCTTATCATATTTTTTTTCAAGCATATTCATTCTTTTTCTCTTATTTGCCAGGACTGGAATGGGGTGCACGTTGGGTGCAAAATTTAAGGAGGTGCTCACTCCCAAGCTTATACCCATACCACACTCTCCTTCCAGTGATACCCCCTCCCCATAATACACCTTTATTATGGTCAGACTTCATTTAGAATGCCCCAAACCACTTCTTCCTTACACCTTCATTCTATACTTGCAGTTCTTGGCTGCCATCAGTCACCCAAAGGAACATTTATTGATGAGTCCATGGCTTTCAAAAAATCAGTTCTCAGTTCTCTTTACTTTTCTGCAGTATTTGTCATTTGAATAAACCATTATTGATCTCTTCCTGGAGTGAGCTTTTAGTCTCTCTTCTTGTCAATCCTCTCTACATACTCTGGACCCTTAAATAATAACTTTCCTCACAAATCAGTTCTTGAGACTTTAAGAACATCCCCACCCTGTGCTAACTCGCCCCTCTCTGTAGATGAACCCTGTGCCAGCAGCAGTCTTGTAACCTTTTGCCTCCTCCCTTGCCCATCGACAGCCTCTCTCATCTCACACTCCACATGCCCAGGATTGCAAAACCACATGCTCCTCCCTGTCTTCTTCTTCTTTTTAAAATTATTTATTTATTTATACAAGAGCTGGGATACAGGCCAGAGGTGAGGGGAGGTTAGAGGATTCACCAGAGACAGAGTAGGGAACAGAACAGGCAGACTGATGAAATACACTGCTGAGGGGAGCAGCGGGCGAGACAGGAGAGGTCTGCTGTGCCATGTGGGAATCTCCCTGGCCGGCTGGGAATTGAACCGTGCTGCAGGGGCTGCGGACAGCTTCACAGCGCTGTGCTCAACGGGAGAGGCCCATGTCTTCTCTTCTTGTTCGCACTCATGAACCATGTTATCCCAGGCTCCAGGCGGCAGCATCCCTGGTGCCTCTGTCATGTTCTTGCCCTGTCATATCTACTTTCAGAGTGTTTCAGCTGCAGCTCCTTTGTCTCCATCCTCACTGTGCTCACGTCCAAACCCTCATCATTTCATGTCCAGCTGTCCCAACAGCCTCCTCACCACAGGAATTAAATCTGTATTAGGAATCCATATTTTGTAAAATATCTGCTTTCCTGCTTTATGTTTCCTTGTCTTATAATAAGTTTGGTTGGTGTAAGAAGAATTTTTGAACTCTAGAGAGGAGAGAGAAGGGAGGGCAGCGAAACTGGGGCTCCGGAGAACGTGAGGGTAGGGGGTTCATGACTGCGGTCCCTGCCACGCAGTATCTGGGACCGGGAAGAGGCACATTGGGGACAGGGAGGAAAGACACTGAGGCAGAGGGGGACCTAGTGGGAAAGCAGGTCAGGTCAGGTCGGAAGCCACACCTTCTCACTTCTGTTTGTCTTCTCCTGGACCTCCCACAGAGTGAACCCCATCAACACCCCTGGATTTGCATGTTGTGATCTTGTCCCCAAGACACACTAGCTCACCAGTCCTTGGTTTAGTCCTGCCCCGCTTGTCTCCCTCCATCTTATTTGTTCTTTCCGCCCCCCCCCCCCGTAGTTCTCCAACTGTGCATTTATTTCATCCCATGTCTTCTCTCCTCTGAACTTACTCGTTCCTTCCTTCACTGCATGTTTCTCCTCCACTCACCTGTTGTATCTTGTATCCCCCGCCCTGCAGCTCGCTGTGTGCTGGGTGCCGTGGAGGCTCCTTCCTCTACACCATGTCCAACATCAACCTGCGGATCCGGGAGCAGCTTTTCTCCTCCCTTCTACGCCAGGACCTCGGGTTCTTCCAGGAGACGAAGACAGGTGGGGTGGAGTCCAAATCTGGGGGTCCCTGGACATTCTTTTCTGTTCCCCTCACCTGCACACAACCTCTGCCCCCCTGGTGCCTGCTTGTGCTGACTTTCTCTCGGAGGGGCAGGGCAGTGAGGCACCCCCTGGCTCTCTCCGCAGGTGAGGCTGGCACTTGGAGGAGGGAGGCACCTGGAGGAGGACGCTGTGTCAGAGGGGAAGGTCAGGGAAGAGTTTCTGGGGCTTTGGCATTGCAGGGCTTCCTCACCTGTTCTGTCCTCCCCAGGGGAGCTGAATTCCAGGATGAACTCGGACACCACCCTGATGAGCCGCTGGCTTCCCCTGAATGCCAACGTGTTCTTGCGGAGCCTGGTCAAAGTGGTGGGGCTGTACAGCTTCATGCTCAGCTTGTCCCCCCGTCTCACCCTTCTGTCTCTGCTGGACGTGCCTCTCACCATTGCGGCCGAAAAGGTGTACAACCTCCGCCACCAGGTATGTGTGGATGGCGGGGAGTCCCTGGAAGAATCAAGCTCCTCTAGGGGTCTTCTCTTTTCAGTTCTTATGGAGCAGCAGTTCTGACCAAGATCCCCACCCCCCATGCCTCTGTGTGTGTGTGTGTGTGTGTGTGTGAAAAAGAGAGAGAGAGAGAGAGAGAGAGAGAGAGAGAGAGAGAGAGAGAGAGAGAGAGAATGGAATGCAAGCAGATTTTTCTGTAAAGATTCCACACATACTTTCTCCACAAATGATTAGGAAAGTCATCTTAGAGGAGTTTAGGTAAAGACTGATCCCCTTTATCATCAACGGAAGGAGTATGAATGGTGTGTAGGAGAGGAGGTAAACTGACAGGAATCCTGAGTCAGAATGTCAGCTCCACCTTCTTTTAATTTTTAAAAAAATTATTTAAAAAAATTAATTTATATTTATATAATTATATTTATATAAAGCTTACCTTTTTAACCATGTTTAAGTGCCGTTCACTGGTGGTAAGAATGTTCATGGTGTTGTGCTGCCACCACCACAGTTCACTTCAGAACTTTCCAAACTGAGCCCCCGGCTAGTTAAATACTGAGTCTCCATTTCCTCCTCCCTCAGGCCTGCAGTCTCCCCATACTTTCTGTCTCTATGAATTCACCTCTTCCAGGTTCCTCTTATAGTGTCTGCCCTTTTGTGACTGGCTTGTTTCACTTAGCATACCGTCTTCAAGATTCATCTATGGGTCAGATGTTTCTTTTTTAGGGCTGAATACTATTCCATCGATACATAGACCTCATTTAACCATTCATCTGTAGGTGAACACTTGACTGTTGTAACTAATGTTGCTATGAACATGAGTACATGGATATCTGCTTGATTTTTTTTCTTTCATAGTTTTGGGTCTATACCCAGAAGTAGAATTCATATGGTAATTTAAAGTTTTTTGAGTCCCCATATTGTTTTCCACAGTGGTGACACCATTTTACATTCCCACCAGCAATACACACTCACTTCACTTTCTCCATACCCTTCTTCAAAACTTGTCATTTTTTCTGTGTGTTTTACATTACAGACATAATGGTTGTGAGGTACTATATCATCATGGTTTTGATTTACATTTCCCTGATGCTGTGTAATACTGGGCTTCTTTTCGTGTGCTTATTGGCCTTTTTTCATCTTTTTTTTTTTTTTTTGGGAGAAACACATTCAAGTCCTGGCTCAATTTTAAATTACATTGCTTTTTAATTGTTGGGTTGTAGGAGTTCTTTATATATTCTTGAATTCTTGATATTAATACTTCATCAGATGTATGGTTTGCAAATATTTTCTCCCATTTTGTGGATTTCGTTTTTCACTCTGTTGATACACCTTTGATACACAAAATTTTTTAATTTTGGCAAGTCCAATTTCATTTTTGGTAGCTTTTCCTTTTGGTGTTATATCTAAGAAGTCATTACCAAAATGAGTGTCAGAAAGCTCAGAAATCATTACCAAATTAGCGTCAGAAACATCTTTGTGTGTTTTCTTCTGGGGGTTTGAAGGTTTTAGCTTTCTTGTTTACATCTTTGATTCATGTTGAAGACTATCTCCATCTTCTGTAACTAGCTGTGGCTTCTGGAAAACACTTATTTTTTTCATTCAGATAGCAGGAGTGGTGTGAATTCCCTCAAATGAAGGTTTAAGCAAATGCACGGAGAGCTGTGCCATATTTTGTTCCCAGCCTCCTTTACACTCATTAGTCCTTCTGGAAAGCAATGTAAGGAAGAGGGAAAGAGGACAGTTTGGTATTGTTTAGGGAAATTGCGGGAGCACCACAACCACTGGAATGTGACATGGGGTTCTGCTGCCTCTGACCAGTCAAACTCTTCCATCTCTGCTGTGCTTTCTAGGCGGTGCTTCTGGAGATCCAGGATGCAGTGGCCAAGGCAGGGCAGGTGGTGCGTGAGGCCGTTGGAGGGCTGCCGACTGTGCGCAGCTTTGGGGCTGAGGAGCAAGAGGTGTGCCGCTATAAGGAGGCCCTTGAACGATGCCGGCAGCTGAGGTGGCGCAGAGACCTGGAACGGGCCATCTACTTGCTCTTTAGGAGGGTGAGGGCCTGAGTGGCTTGTGGGTAGGCTCAGGGAGGGGGCAGAAAGCCTGACACTATTCCTGTTGCTCAGTGTCATAGGGGCAGGAAGGGGAAGAAAGGGAGAGACCCTTTTCCCATACTCACCTGTCTTCTCCCTTCCAGATGCTGCAACTGGGTGTGCAGGTGCTTATGCTGAACTGTGGGCTGCAGCAGATCCTGGGTGGGTCCCTCTCCCGGGGCGGGCTGCTCTCCTTTCTGCTCTACCAAGAGAACGTGGGCCAGTATGTGCAGGTGAGTCAGCGGGCAATGCCTGCTCCTCTCTCCCTGACTCTCCCCGCCCCCCCACCTTTCTTTCTGATCTTCTGAAACTTGGGCTTTTTTTTGTTCTCCTTAAGAACACAGAACAGCAAAAAACCCAACTCATTTTGTTATGAAGAATTTCAAATACATGCCCTAACAAACCTCTATCACCTGCTTTGACAATTAGTTGCTCTTGGCCAACCTTGTTTCATCTGTATTTCCACTTACTTCCCTCACACATATTTTTTAGAAGCAGATCCGAGCCATAGTGTTATATGTAAATATTTCAGTATGGATCTCTAAAATATAAACATTAAAAAAACCCATAAAGTGTCCTCCCTGGCAGGGGTTAAAGTCTCAGTATTATCAAGCAATCGCCAGCCACTGCAGCATCACTTCTATCCCCTGCCAGGGAGCTAACCCACACAGCAGACCTCTCCTGTCTCTCCTGCTATTTCCCTCAGCAGTGCATTTCAGCAGATCCATCTGTTCTGCTGCCTACTCTGTCTCTGGTGAATGCTCTCATTCCCCGCACCTCTGGCCTACACCCCAGTTCTTGTATGGATAAATAAATAAAAATAAATCTTAACAAACAACAACATAAAGCCCAAAACATAACAATAATTTCTAAAATGAATCAAATACAATCAGTGGTGAAATTTCCCCTTGTCTTATTCACACATGTAATGCAAGTATACGGTACTATGCTTCTCTCTCCCGTACCTGTGTATGTGTGTACCTGTATCTGCCTACAGTTGCAGGAGAAGCATCAGCACTGAGACTTGGTGCCAAGGCCCATTAGATCATCAGGGTGGGCAAAAGTGTCACCCCCTTCCCCTCTTTACTTCCTTGATCAGTTGGAATGTACCCCTCATCTGCTGTTTGGTTACCTGGTAGTACAGTTTAATTAGGAAAGATAGAATGAACATTTATTTCCTTCCTTGTATTTACCAGTTTTCAAAATTAAGTAGTTGCTTCATCTTGGATTTATTTTGTGACTTTCTTAGATACATATTTATTTATTTATTTTGATCCCCCCCCCCAAGTTTCAGAGATATTTATTAATCAGTGTAAATCTCTACAGAATACACCAACATGATTTCGTACATTTAGAGGGAAGTATTTCCTGGCTAAGTGGAAAATTGTGGAAGACCTTCATTTTAAGTAGCTTTATAGTGAAATATTTCATTTAGAAGTCAATTGAGGCAACATTGGTTTACAATGCTGTGTATGATTTAGGGGAATAGACTCACACCTCCTCAGATGTATGTCACCACAGCACCCCCACCATCCAAGCACCCATGGTCCTTTACCATAGACTGTTGCCCCCCCAGTAGCCTCAATTTTGCAGTCATATTTCTAGGGTCGTTTTGGTTTAATCAGTTCCTTTGTTTTGTTTCTTCATGTGAGCGACACCGTATTTGTCATTCTCCTGATTCATTTTCTTAGATATTATAATTTTTAAAAGATTTTTATTTATTTATTTTTATATTTTTTATATTTTTATTTTTTTTTTTAATAGAGGCATGTTTTATTTATTTGTTTGTTTGTTTGTTTGTTTATACATGCACTGGGTACAGTCAGAAGCGCGGGAGGGGAGAGAATTCACCAGAGCCAGAGCGGGGAGCAGAGCAGGCAGAAGGACCGAAGTACACTGCTGAGGGGAGCAGCGGGCGGCAGGAGAGGTCTGCGCGCCATGTGGGACCCTCCTCCGGTGGCCAGGGAGCAGCCGGGGATCGAACTGGCGACTTAGAGGCCGCGGGCAGCTTCGCAACCCAGCGCTCAACCGCTGCGCCACCGGGGAGGCCCTTTTTTAAAGATTTTTAAAGAACTGGGGTACAGACCAGATGCACAGGAGGGTGAGAGGATTCACCAGAGACAAAGTAGGGAATAGAACAGGAGGAATGACTGAAATACACTGCTGAGGGGAGCAGCGGGCAAAACAGGAGAGGTCTGCTGTGCCATGTGGGTTGCTTCCTGGCCAGCCGGAATCGAACCCGCACTGCAGAGGCTGCGGACAGCTTCACAGTGCTGCACTCAACCGCCTGCGGCACCAGGGAGGACCTTTCTTAGATATTTTTAAAACATCTTTTATATGTGGAGGGCTGTGCTGGGCTCTCTGGTGGCTACAAAGATGATGTTTGCAGAGTGCCTGCTTTTTTTTTTTTTTTTTTTTTTTTTTTTTTTTTTTGGTTGGTTGGTTATACAAGCACTGGGTACAGTCAGAAGCGCGGGAGGGTGAGAGAATTCACCAGAGCCAGAGCGGGGAGCAGAGCAGGCAGAAGGACCGAAGTACACTGCTAAGGGGAGCAGTGGGCGGCAGGAGAGGTCTGCGCGCCATGTGGGACCCTCCTCTGGTGGCCGGGGAGCAGCCGGGGATCGAACTGGCGCTGCAGAGGCCCGCGGGCAGCTTCTCAACCCAGCGCTCAACCGCTGCGCCACCGGGGAGGCCCCAGAGTGCCTGCTTTGAAGGGGCTCCCTGTCTTACAGGGGAGGCAGAACCCCGCACAAGTTCACAAAACAATGACTGGAAGTCAGGGCAGCGCTGCGTGGGGGGATCGTGGTTGTCTTCACCCCTTACATTATAAATTGGAACACTGGGGTATTCGTGTTGATTTTAAATTCCAGCCAAACCGCACATTGGAAAGCAGAGGATCTTTCTAGGAGGAGGGGCGGTGGGCGGGGTGAGGTGTGCCAGGCTGTGTGTGGGGCGTGGGGATCTGGTTCCGGTGGCGCTGATGGACGGGCCTGTTCTGCTCTTGTTCTCCAGACCCTGGTGTACATATGTGGGGACATGCTGAGCAACGTGGGGGCCGCGGAGAAGGTTTTCCGGTACCTGGACCGAAAGCCCAATCTGCCTCCTTCGGGGACACTGGCCCCTCCCACTCTGCGGGGGCTGGTGGAGTTCCGGGGAGTGACCTTCGCGTACCCCAATAGTCCTGACCGGCCTGTGCTCAAGGTGCCTGCGGGGGTGGGGCTGGGGGAGGGGCGCTGGGAGGTGAAGGCTCGGCCCCCACCCCTGCTGCTCAGGCACCATAGTCAGCGGGGAGTTTGCCTCTCCCCTCTGCTAGAAAGAGAGGGGAGAAGAAGGAGGCTCCTGACTCTTTCCTGGCTTCTCCAGGGGCTGACGTTCACCCTGCGACCTGGTGAGGTGACGGCCCTGGTGGGGCCCAACGGGTCTGGGAAGAGCACCGTGGCCGCCCTGCTGCAGAATCTGTACCAGCCCACAGGGGGGCAGGTGCTGCTGGATGGGGAGCCCCTCTCCCTGTACGAACACGGCTACCTGCACCGACAGGTGGGTCGGAGATGGAGAAGAAACTGCGAGAGAGCGCGGGGATGGTGGAGGTCTGGGGGAGGAGGCGAGGAGGGCGTGAGGTGGGGTTTCACACTGTCTCTGCGCCCCTGTGCAGGTGACCGTGGTGGGGCAGGAGCCGGTGCTGTTCTCGGGGTCCGTGCGCGACAACATCGCCTACGGGCTGAAGCGCTGCAGCGAGGAGAAGGTGCTGGCTGCCACCCGGGCAGCCCGAGCGGATGAGTTCATAGACGAAATGGAGCACGGCCTAAATACAGGTACCTCCCGTCTAAAAGAAACTGGAGCTTACCCTTGGGGTGAGGTTGAGTTCCCTTCACTCGATGCTGGCCGTTCCCTTGCCCTTCCCCAGCTGCCGCTGGCCGGCCTTCCCCACCACGCGGCCTCCTGGGCCTCCGGTGCGCCCAGGTCTGTGTTGGGGCACACAGGACACAGCACAGCCCCCCCCAGCACAGCCCTCCTGGCGGCGCCGCCTGGCCTCCCTACTCCAGGTCCTCAGACCTCCTCACTGGTGTGGGGGACACCAGCTCGGAGTCGGCCTGCCCTTGGGCAGGACTTTGTGGTGGTCCCTTGTTTCTGAGGAGGGCTATTTCCCTGGTCTCCTCAGATGTAGGGGAGAGAGGAAAATTGTTGGCCGCGGGGCAGAAACAACGACTGGCCATTGCCCGGGCCCTTGTGCGGGAGCCACGCGTCCTCATCCTGGACGAAGCCACCAGTGCCCTGGACGTGCAGTGTGAGCAGGCCGTGAGTACCGGGTGCCAGGGCCGGGGACAGGCGCCTGAGGGGTCACATTGGAAGGATGAGCCTGTGCGGAGCTGGGCAGTGGGAGGATGAATAGCCACCAGTGGAAAGAGTATCAGTGCCTTCTTAGGGTGGGGGATGGGATGGAGAGTAGGTGCTTGGTGGGCTTTCCAGGGTGGCGTTCCCTCCAGGGCTGCCCTGCCCGTCATCTGGCTGCACAGCACTGAGGGCAGTGTGGAGCTTCCTCTGCTCTTCCCTGCCTTCTCATGTTTAAAGGGGTCTTTACCATAAGCCATAGAGAGGGTGCCCAGTGGACTGTGGTGTCCAGCCTGTTCCTCTCTTCCTAAGCACGGTGACCCCCCCCCACCAGGTGCAGGATTGGAAAGCCCGTGGGGACCTAACGGTGCTGGTGATTGCCCACCGGATGCAGACACTTCAAAGCGCAGACCAGATCCTGGTGCTGAGACAGGGGCAGCTGCAGGAGCAAGCTCAGCTCATGGAGGGGCAGGACCTGTATTCCCGACTGGTGCAGCAGCAGCAGCAGCAGCAGCAGCAACAGCAGTAGCAGTAGCAGCAACAGGAGGAGGAGCCCCAGGACTCTGGGCCCATCACGGGGGCATCTTCATGACCCCGGGTAGCTCCTGCCTTGAATTTCCCTGGGCTGTGCCTGGTCGTTGTTCCTGGAGCTGGGTTGGCTGTCTGGACCATGTGCATTTCCTCCTGGTGGGCCTCAATGCTGCCGGTGTCCAAATACTTGGTTTCCTGGGCCCACAGTGCTTTTCTTGGCCCTGCGTAGTGTATGGTACATATATTTTAAAATATTTTTTCCACAATGTATAAATAGCACACATTCATGTAGAAAAGTGAAAATGTGGGCCTTCCCGGTGGCGCAGCGGGTTGATCGCTGCCCTGTGAAGCTGTCCGCAGCCTCTGCAGCATGGTTCAATTCCTGGCCGGCCAGGGAGATTCCCACATGGCACGGCAGACCTCTCTTGTCTAGCCTGCTGCTCGCCTCAGCAGTGTCTTTGGTCTGTCTGCCTGCTCTGCTCCCCGCTCTGTCTCTGGTGAATTCCCTCACCCTCCTGCGTCTCTGACAGTGCCCCAGTTCTTGTATAAATATATCAAAAAAAAAAAAAGAAAAGTGAAAGTGATTTTTTTTTTTATCTTAATAACCATGGTTACTGTTTTCCTGGGTAGCCTATTGTTTGAGATACATAATAGCTAAAATGACATAAATATTCATGAGGTTGTCTTTTTTGTATCCTCCCCCATTCCCACTGGTGTCAGATATTTTTTGGGAAACTTGAGTGGAAGGGAAGCTCGTGGTTCTCTAATTTACAGTGTTAAAACACTGATAACAATGACTACTTACAGTGCTTAATGAGTAGGCACTATGTGTTTTTCATCTATTATCTTACTTCATTGTTATCCTCAAATCTAGGAGGTTTGTATTATCTTATTTAATCCTTATCCTGAAAACTAAAAACCATTTTATAGAGAGGAAACCAAATTTGAAAAAGATTAAATAACTCTCCAGGTCACACAGTGGTGGATTTCGAATTTGAATCCAGGCCTGACCCCAGAGTTCATGACCTCAACCAATAAATTACATTGTGTCTTGTGTCCCTAATCTCTAATTCATAATGAGATCAAATAAAATTCTTTCATTTCTAGTGTTGAGTACCTCTGCGTCCATTATGTTTTCTCTTGTGCCATTGTTTTAACTTTCACTCAGTTTTTGGTTTTCTCATCACCAGAGTTGATCACCATTTCTAGCCACTCTTTGTGAAGTCTCTTCTCTTTCTAGAAGGCACAGAGGTTACTGTCACTTCTGTAAAATCCTTCCATTGCTCATCCTCCCTTTCTGCCCAGGGCTCCCTGAGGGCACTCCAGGTTTTCCAACCTGATTGTCTCCCCTTTTCCTGTTGCAGTTAGCCTCACAAACTTCCTTTGCATGTGGTGTGTCCTTGCCAGTCCCTGCACCACCTCCCTGATGTACCCCAAGTTCTTCAAGTCTTAACTCAGGGTTCAGGTCTTCCAGCAAGCTTTCCCTTATCTCCTCAGTCAGAGAAAGTGCCCTTTCTTGAGCTCCTGGAAAGGCGAAGTATCTTATTAAGCTTTATACCTTCGCCTGCCTGCCGTAGGGCTAAGTTCATAGTAGACAATAAATAAATGCTTGTTGGATAAATAAACAAACCTCCTTCCTCCACTGTCCTCATTCTCCACCTTCCCTGTGCATTCAATATTGAAAATCCAAAGTGGTGCACATCACTGCTGTCTGGAGGAACTTATCTTTGAAGGTTCCTATTCTAGGAAAGTGAAACTTGCACATTCCCAGGAAGAGCAGGTACTTTCCAGCACTGGCAAGAAGCCAGCCAGAACTTCTGCTGTTTTGGTTTTCTCTTGCTTGGCAGGTGTTGGGAGTAGGGTGGGGCCAGAGTAGGGAGTTTCTCTTGCAGACAAACCTTTGACTCACCGTGCTGCTGCCTTTTAGCCCCACAGCTATTTATCTCTCCAATGTCACTGAGGGTGAAATACGCATTTAGGGAGAGAGAGGTGGGTCTGACCCTCCTCCTCCCTACCAGATGTCCTTCCTCTATTTCTAAAATGGGAATGATAATTCTTATATTCCCCCAACCTTATGAAACACAGCCCCTCATGAAAGAAGGTGAAATGTTAGACTCTCTTAAAATCCTCTGATAGGGGCCTCCCCTGGTGATGCAGCAGTTGAGCACTGCGTTGCGAGGCTGCCCGCAGCCTCTGCAGGGCCAGTTCAATCCCCGGCCACCAGCAAGTGTCCCACAAAAAAAAAAAAAAAAAAAAAAAAAAAAAACAACTCTGATAGCTTCAGTATCATTACACCCACGGAATGATAATGCTTTAAACCTGGACGGCATCTTTAAAGTTATATAGCAGTTAAATCTTACTTTGCAGATAGGGAAACTGGCCTGAAATCATACAGATAATGCTGGGATGAAAACTCAGGCATCCTGATATTTAGTGTAGGAAGATGCAGCAGAAATTAGGATCTTTAATGTCACCAACATTTGTTATCTCAGGGGAAACTCCGGGGTAAGCCTTATGCCAGGGACACAGGTAAATGTTCCCTGACAGGAAGACCATTCAGCCTACACAGACAAATCCCGACAAGTGTGGTCTGTCTGCTACCACAGATATTCGTAATTCTGGTTTGTCTCAGAGTTCTAGTTCTTTTTATTTATCCCTTCCTAACCCTCAACATCATTTCATTTCCCTGCCCTTTGATTTTCCCTTCTAGTCACTTACCATCAGTATCTTTCCCAATAAGTCCCAGTTTACCCTTTCCGAAGGAAGGTAATAGACAGGGAGAAACTTGAGATGTGAGTTCATCAATTTCTTTGGAACCCAACACAACCTCCACCCCTTTTACCTTGCCCAGTGTGAAAACAGTCTTGAATTTCAAGTCCTGTCTGTCCCAGCTGGGTGGGGTAGCCACTGGCAGTCACGTGGAAGTTGTGAATCAAAAGGAGGAATGCGGTTTTCAGTTCTGGGAAAAGGATTTGGGAATAAGGAAAGTAAAGCTCTTCTCTGTTTTTGTGGCCAGTGGGTGTGAGCACCCAGTTGAGAGTAGGTGGCATCTGGTCCTATGACATACTGGGCTTGAAACTAGAAATTTTTGGTGCTATGAATCGTAATAATTTGAATGAGAGTGGTAATCATTCATTGAGTGTTTATTATGTTCTGTTGCTGTGCTGAGTGCCAGACATACTTTATCTTCTGGTGATCCTGTGTGGCAGGCATTTAGTTTGCCTTTTGATGGGTAGTTAGGTTATTGGGAGCCTTTTGTTATTATAACTAGTGTCTTATATAGACATTGCAATAAACAAGAACATCAGGAGGATAAAATCCTAAGGGAGGAGTTTCTGAGTCCAAGTGTATATACTTTATTAATACGGAAAGAAACTACAAAATTACCTTCACAGAGGTGGTATTAATGTATAGTTCTATCAGCAATATATGAACATGTCTCTTCATACACACACACTACTTGATTGAATAAGAGGATGCAATAGAATTATTTTTAATTCTTCACATCCCTAAAACACCACAAGCTCTGAAGCATATATAGGTGGGATTATGAGGGTATTACTGGGCCCTGCAGTGTGAACTGCAGGGTAAAACTGGTGTTTTTCTCATTGTCTCTTAAATAGCTGGAACTGTTAGAAAAACGTGGTGGATTTACCTGTCTTCGCCAAAAGCTGCTGCCTGTGGGCAGCTCCTCCCTCAGGCACCAGCCAGGTTAATTTTTCAGTGAAGAGGGATCATGGGGGGGGTGGAGGGGAAGACCCTAGAAGTGAATTTAAGGGAGTACAGGAGCATTCCCCCAGGACCCTAGACGCTGAGGCCCAGACTAGACTCGTGGCACTTCTGAAGAGAGAGAAGCCAAGGAGTTTTGCAGAGACCAGGAGGCTGAGCCTATCTCTGGTCTTATTGCTCTTGTTGCCTGGAGAGACTGCCAAGGCCCCGGGCCTGGTGTCTGCTGAGTTGCTATTGGAGTGGGCCAAGGGTTCACCAAGAGCTGTTTGGATCGTCTGCCATGGCTTCCTGGTGTTGCTGCTGTTGTCTGTTCGAGCATTTGATACTGTTCATCCTTATCTTCAGACTGTTACTGAGGGCTGCTGTGGTGTCATCTCACTGAGCCTGCCTGTTGGATCCTGGCCTGTTGCTTCTGGTTGCCACATGCTTCAGGCCCTTATTGGGAGGATGGCATCATCTTGGAAGGGCGGCCTTCTGAACACTGTAGACACCCTGTGGAACCCTAGGGTGAGACAACTGGCCATTTGAGGGCTTAGTAACTCTTTGTTTCCTGTGCTTGTTAAATAAACCCCATTATTGTTGTTCCCTAAACCTGAGTGGTCTTCAAATTGTGCGCGCAGGTGAAGAACTCAGACAGTGATCTGTGCTCTATTGGATACTGTCCTTGGATAGTGACAGTACCCATGGTACTGTCACTGGTATTTGGCCCGAAGACCCAGGAATACCTGAATTACGCCTTGTCAAATATGCTGGAACATCTTCATATATCTGACAAGAGGCTAATATCTAAGATCTACAAAGAACTCAATTCAACAAGAAACTAGATAACCCAATGAAAAATGGGCAGATCTAAACCAGACTTTTCTCCAAAAACATACACATCTGGGCCTCCCCAGTGGTGCAGCGGTTGAGCGCTGGGTTGCAAAGCTGCCCGCAACCTCTGCAGTGCCGGTTCGATCCCCGGCTGCTCCCAGGCCACCGGAGGAGGGTCCTGCATGGCGCGCAGACCTCTCCTGCCGCCCGCTGCTCCCCTCAGCAGTGTACTTCGGTCCTTCTGCCTGCTCTGCTCCCCGCTCTGGCTCTGGTGAATTCTCTCACCCTCCCGCGCTTCTGACTGTACCCAGTGCTTGTATAAATAAATAAATAAATCCTTGAAAAATAAATAAATAAATAAATCTTTAAAAAAAAAAAAAGCATACACATGGCCATTAGGCACATAAAAAAATGCTCACCATCACTTATCATCACAAAAATGCAAATCAAAACTACAATAAGATACCATCTCACACCTGTGAGAATGGTTTATATCAAAAAGACCAGAAACAAATGTTGCTGACGGTGTAGAGAAAAAGAACCCTCATACATTGTTAGTGGGAATGTAGACTGGTCCAGCCCTTGTGGAAAATAAATATTCAAAATAAATCTACCAAAGATCCAGTAATTCCTCTTGCAGGTATTTACCCAGAGAACACAAAATCTCTAATTCAAAGGGATATAAATATATGTGCTCCCACATTCATTGCAGCACAACTTACAATAACTAAGTTATGGAAACAACACAAGTGCCCAACAGAGGAGTGGATTAAAATTCACACATTCAGTTATTAAAAAAAAAAAAAAAAAAAGAAGAGGGGCTCCCTGGCGGCGCCGCGGTTGAGCGCTGGGTTGCGAAGCTCCCCGCAGCCTCTGCAGCGACGGTTCGATCCCCGGCTGCTCCCCGGCCACCGGAGGAGGGTCCCACATGGCGCACAGACCTCTCCTGCCGCCCGCTGCTCCCCTCAGCAGTGTACTTCGGTCCTTCTGCCTGCTCTGCTCCCCGCTCTGGCTCTGGTGAATTCTCTCACCCTCCCGCGCTTCTGACTGTACCCAGTGCTTGTATAAATAAATAAATAAATCTTTAAAAAAAAAAAAAAAAGAAGCGTTCTTGCTATCTGTGACAATATGGATGGAACTGGAAAGGATTTTGCAAGTGAAATAGTCAGAAGGAGCCTCCCTTTTGGCGCAAGGGGTTAAGGCACAGCGCTGTGAAGCTTTCCGCAGCCTCTGCAGCACTAGTTCATGGAGCAGACCTCTCCTGACTCGCCCGCTGCTCCCCTCAGCAGTGTATTTCAGTCAGTCTGCCTGTTCTGCTCCCTGCTCTGTCTTTGGTGAATCCTCTCCCCCCCCATTTCTGGCCTGTACCCCAGTTCTTATATGCATAAATAAATAAATCTTAAAAAAAAGAATTAGTCAGAAGGAGAAAGGCAAATACAGGATTTTTTTTCCATGTATAAACTATATAGACACAAAACAAAGCAACTTACAAAACTAACCCAAGACAAACCCCAGAAATCCAACTGTAGAACTGAGACCACCAGAGAGGGAGGGAGAAGGGGGAGCAAAGGAGGGAGGGGCCCGGTGACCATGGTGGAGGATTAGGGTGCTTTGTGGTGGGCCTGGTGTGGTAACTTAATACTCCTGAAGAGTCGTGAACTTGCATCTCTAAATCATATACAGTATTGTCAACCAATACTATCTCAGTAACACATAACACAATTAAAAATAACATAAAAACCATTGAATAAATGAAAACAACTAATTGTGGATAAAGAAAAATAATGCTTTGTATGTTCATTTATATTATTTTTATGAGAACTTTTTGTCATAACAATACATTTATCACCCAAACTAAAAGAAGTAACTCTTCTTAGACTGTTAAAACTTACTTTTTGTGTGCCCAAACATTACCAAATACATTTCATTCTTCCTGCCATCCAGGGAAGATTTCCCTGTCACTCTACCTAGGTTGTACATTTCTTTTTTTCTTTTTCTTTTTTTTTTAAAAGAATTTTTTATTTATGCATACAATCACTGGGGTAAAGGCCAGAGGTATGTGTGTGTGTGTGGGAAGGGTGAGAGGATTCACCAGAGACAGAGTGGGGAAAAGAACAGGCAGAATGACCAAAATACACTGCTGAGGGAAGCAGCTGGTGAGTCAGGAGAGATCTGCTGCTCCACGTGGGTACCTCCCTGACTAGGGATTGAACTCATGCTGCGGTGGCTATGAACAGCTTCATAGGTAAGTAAGTTATCCAACACCAGTTAACAATTCCACAAAGGAATGAACCCCTTCCCAAGAGAAGACGGTATCAGTGCAATTTCTGTGTGGGTAAGATACAGCTCTCCTGTCCTCCTGTGACCATGCAGGTTTCTCTTTCTTAAATCTCCTATGTTCAGGGGCAGCGATTTCTGCCCCCTTGTGTCTATGCAGGCATCCTTTCATTTCCTTTTTTTAATAATAAACTTGCCCTTTTGGATATAACAAGATGTCTCTGCCTCTTAGGGAAATTCTCTGTGTGCCACTGAAAGGGGAGCTCTGGTGAAACTATTCTTAGAGGTAACCCAAGGACCCCACTCTCTGAACCCAACACCTCTCCACACCGACATCATCAACCACCCTAGAGGGAGACCGAGTGGTCAGGACAGGTCAGGGACAGAGCTAAATGAGCTTAAAGGGGTTCATAATAAACCATCTGCCTAGTTCTTCTAGGGCCACAGACCATGTAGAGTGTTTTTTTTTCCTTTTTCTCCCAGCCCACTTTCCATATACCTTATCTACTGCCAGTGATCCTGCAGTGATCTTGAGTGGTATTGCACAACTTTATGAAAGTATTCTACCCAGCTCCTGATGACGCGTGACTCTTCCATCTTGATTGGCTATCACTGTGAGGCGTTTCCAATCCTGGGGAGGCTAGAAAGGTACCTATATTTTTCATGAATAATTTTTGCCTGAATAGGACAAGCCTTATTCTAAAGAAATTGTTCATTTCCTCTTTTTTCTTCTTCTTCTTCTGCAGAATGGAATCTGTGTGGGTGCCCTGGGTGGTGGCTTTGCTGGTGAATTTAATGAGGCTGGATCCCTCTATGACTCAAGGCACAGACTACCCAGGTAAGAAAGGGACTTTTCTCAGGTATATATGCAAGAGCTGGGGAGGGGGGAAGGATGCCTTTTTCCATAGGTGTAGACCACTGAGAAGACTGGAGGTGACTTCTGGCTTCTAAGAGAGTACTCTTGCCTTTGGAGAGAGTACTCTCCCCTTTTCACCACACACAGTAAACCACTGGGTGAAGGGACTTCCTGTCTCAAGTCACAGATTCAAGGAGAAGGCGGCAGAAAGAACACTTTTTATTATACTTGGGGTCCTTATTGCATCAATATCAGTCGAGAACTACAAATAGCAGAGACAGTCTGGGAAGAGCTGCCCTTCTTCAGCCAGGACTTTGCTCTGATGATTGTGACTGATTCTCTATTTACCCAGTTGGGGTCTACATGGACAAAAGAGATTAGAAATGAAGGTTGTTTCTTTTCACATTATTATTCTCCCCCTATTATATGATCAGAACTGTACTAACCAATTTTGAGGAATAAGAGAAGTTGAATGCACTATCCCTGCTCCCGGGTCTCCTTATAAATATATTTATTAATGTTGTTTTTCTACCTGAAGAGAATGGCTATGCAAGCACCAAGCAATATTACACTGTGAAAGCATACTTATCAGCAGAAAACAGGATATAATGTGCTAAAAACAGAAACCACTTTGAATGTTGAAGTCTCATCAAGGGCAAAAGAGGAACAAACCTGGGTGGAGGGTGGGTGGGAGAGGATCTCTGTTCTTAGAGATGAGAAACTTTTCTGAGCTTATAAATTCCATTAAGCAACACAAATGAAAACAGTCTAGCCCAGATTTAAATCTGACACAGATTTAAATAATTTAAATAATTAATTTAAATGATTTCAATAATTTTCTCTGATTGAAATTATTAGAAGAAATAGAGAACTGGAGGTTAGAGCTGTATCTGCAGCTGGCTGTGAGTGGGAGAGGGAGGCTGGAAACAGGAAGGGAGCAGCCATCTTTCTACTCCCCTCAATAGCCCTTGCAGGAGTCTCTGAACTTTGAAAAGAAAGCAAATTGACAACTCAGGGTCAGTGACAATTACCCTCAATTTAAGAGCTATTTCTATAGGGAAATCTCTCCTGATCAACCTGCTTCGTTAACCCATTTGAATGACTTATAAACAAAAGAAAGCTATTTCTCACAGGGCTGAGGCTCAAGGTGTCAGCACCGTGGTCTTGTGGGGAAGGCTCTCTTCCTGGTTCATCGTGGCCCTTCTCCCTGGCCTCACACGGTGCTGGGGTTTGGGGTCTCCTGAGACTCTTTTATGAGTGCTGATGCCCTCAAGAGGCTCCACCCTCATGATCTAAGCAGCTCCTAAGACCTCATCTGCTAATATCATCAACTTTGGGGGCTAGGACTTCAATATATGTAGTTGAGACCATAGTGAGCTGTGTGCTCCATAAGTAAGAATCACCCCTTTCCTACCTGTGAGGACTGGTTACATAACATTAGAAAATTAAATTACTTTGGAAAATATGAGATTAGGAATGAGATACATCATATGAGAATAACATAGCTCAAAATGATCGCCACTAATATTAGCAACATGCTTTGAACATAGAAAACCATAATGAATAATGGAATTGGATTTTTAAAATTTCCTGTTCAGTGCAATATTTAATATAAAAGCCCCCATAGAAGGTTCAAGCTAACATCATATTCCCCATCACCATGTACTGCAACTATTAAAATTGTAGGCATTTTGCCAGTGATAATTATAATAATCTTTAAGCCATGGATTAAAGAGGTTACTACCAACAAAGGTAAAGAGGTTACTACCTCTCTAGAGCCAGCAGAGGGGATGAGGTCTCAGGGTCTGAGTGCAAAAGGAAAATTGCTGGAGAAAACCCATAGGAGCGGAAGGTGAACGGAGATTGTTTCACACATAAGATGTACCTACTCTGCATCTCTGTCCCATCTCTGCTGCCTCTTTGCCTCATTCTGGAAGAAATACATAGAATTAAGTTGCTAAGAGCAGAGCACTGCAGTTATTTCATATGGGGCCGGGTCTTCTTGACTTGATAAAACAGGGAGTCAAAACCTTGGGTTTCTGAAAGCTCAGCTTAGAGAAACTAGCACAGTGTCTGGCAAGACACAAATGGACAAGATATTTGATGATTAAATGAGTGAGTACAGCTTGGCTGTATCTTGAGACTCTGGCTTGCTTCTCCGGGTGACATGTCTGTCGTTTTGTGGGCCTGATCATGGGCTTTGGGCTTTTTCATTATGGCTGTGTCCTAGCTAAGAGGAACCAGAGTGGGGACCAGGTAGAAGAGGACACTTTGGCCTATCACTGAGGTCAAAAAGCCTCTCAAATCCACGTGGTCTGGCATTATTTACCAGGAATGGGTTTACTAATGGTGGGACTAATTCACAATCCATTTTTGGTTTTCCAGAAGATTTTGTGATTCAGGCAAAGGCTGACTGCTACTTCACCAACGGGACGGAAAAGGTGCATTTTGTGGTCAGATTCATCTTCAATTTGGAAGAGTATGCACGCTTTGACAGTGACGTGGGGATGTTTGTGGCACTGACGGAGCTGGGGAAGCCCGATGCTGAGCTGTGGAACAGTCGGCCGGATATACTGGAGAGGAGCAGGGCTTCCGTGGATGCTCTCTGCAGACGCAACTACTGGCTGGGGGCACCCTTCACTGTGGGGAGAAGAGGTGAGGTGGAAGGGGAGGTCTGGGGGTTCAGGAATCTCCCCAAGCCAACCTGGTCGTGGCTTTTCCCCCTTCCGACAGTTTCCTGCTTCAGGAAGTTTATGAGCAGGTGTTCTATCCCGACATGACTCACCCAATAACCTCAGAGGTCGGGTCACAGTGGTCTTGGTTCCAGTCTCCAAGGTCCACAGGAACTGTAAGGGATCATGGGCCCTCTATTAGAAAGGGTCGTTGTGGGAGTGTCTGGGAAGGCTGACTCCTTGGGGGCATTCACATACCCCGTTTCAGAGTCTTGGGAGCTGGGATTTCCCACATTCCCAATTTCCACTTGGGTGATCTGGGAAGGAGATTAGGGGCAGCGACCATCTCTGAAGCAACTCCTATCTCGGCTTGGTGGTTTTCCTTCACAATGTCTCATTTTTCTAGTGCAACCAGAGGTGACAGTGTACCCTGAGCGGACCCCATCCCTGCAGCACCACAACCTGCTGCTCTGCTCTGTGACGGGATTCTATCCAGGGCACATCCAGGTCAGGTGGTTCCGGAACGGGCATGAGGAGAGCGAGGGGGTCACGCCCACTGGCCTCATCAGGAATGGAGACTGGACCTTTCAGACAACAGTGACACTGGAAATGACTCCTGAGCTTGGGGACGTCTACACCTGCCTTGTTGAGCATCCCAGCCTGCTGAGCCCTGTGTCTGTGGAGTGGAGTGAGAATGGCTCTTTGTACTCAGGGCCTGACTTGGGGTCATAGTGACTCAACTTGGGCCCACATTCCCTCCATGTTCTTCTCAGTCACAATGCTATTCTTCTTCCCCTGATCTGAGAGAGTCAGAATTCAGAGTTCTTGGGTTTGGGTGGGAGGAAACTTGTCCGGTATTTATCCTTGTATCTTCCAAAAATTGAGGTCATCACCTCATCACTTACTTCCAGCGTTGGGAACTAGCATCCTCTAATACTTTGTCTTGGTATTTAGGGGACATTCTTATGGGCTATTAAGAAGCAGTAATAGAAACTGGTTGCAAATTGGGTGCAAATCTTGGCCTGAAAGTAACCATTTCTACATGTGTGTTTTTTTTTTTTTAGACAGCATTGGAATAGTGTCCGGCACAGGCTCTGGATTTCAGTGAAGTGCAGCAAATATTGGAACTTTTTACTAATTTAAAGACTTGTTTCCCATAGGAGCTCAGTCTGAATACTCTTGGCAAAAGATGCTGGCTGGAGGTGCAGCCTTCCTGCTTGGGCTAGTCCTCCTTCTGGTGGGGACCGTCATCCACCTCAGGGCTCGAAAAGGTAACGAGCCTCTGAGGGGTTCCTCCACCTGTCCTGTAGCTTCCCCCACTTTCCACTTTTCCCAACATCAAAAGGAGGAGGCAGGGAAGGCTGATAGAGCTCCTAAGGGTCACAATGATAGTCTTTATTTTATTGAGGTAACATTGGTTTATTGTGATTCAGAGGTACAGGATCACCCCACTTCAGATATGTCACCCCTCACCCCACCACCACGACACCCATAGTCCTCCACCAGAGTCCCTCAGGCCCCCTCCCTGCTTTGCTCTCCACCCTACCTTACTTATCCTGTAGCCTTAATTCTACCAGGGATAGTTTTTCTGAAGCCAAAAGCATCCAGGAGGTAAGCAGAGACTGAGTTCTGATATTGCAGGCCCCCTCAAGATAATTGCAGCTTTGGGGCCTAATTGGGACATTGTCTTTCTTTCCTCTTTTATTCCAGGATACATGGAGGCTCAGCTGTCTGGTTATGAGGTAATGCCTCCTTCCTTGCCCTTGGGTGGAAGGCTAATCTCCCAATCTTTTGTCCAGTAGGGGACCTACTGGACAAGATGTAGGGGTGGGTGGCTTTGTCTGCAGAGTCCCTGGCATGGGAAGTGGGTTCCCTCAAGAAATCTTTGTTACTGTCCCTGCAGGTGTGCAGAAAAAATGTTCTCCCGCCACAGGCATGCGAAGGCCCTGAGTGGAGACTGTCTCCTGGATCCTGAAGCAGCTCCTGAGCCCTGGACTAGGCAGAGGACATTGATGAGGTCGATGTTCCAGGGGCTCCTTTCTGTGAGGGTGGGGAACAGTCCCGAATGATTCTGTGTCCTGAGGTCATCCATTTCCCACCCTCTTCGCTTCTCCCTCCTGCTTGAGAAGGTCATCAGGCCCCATTCCCAAGACCAAAGTCCAGAAATTCCCCTAAGACTTAATTCCTTCCAGCTCCAAACTGTTTACCTTTCCAGCCCTAATTCTGAAGGCCATTACCCAGTCTTTCTCCCTGCTAGCTGCGGTCTTCTCAGTGATTGAAGACAAATGCTCAGTTACTTAAAACAAAACAAAACAAAACAAAACAAAACAAAACAAATCAAAACAAAACCTTTCTAATTGTAAAATAAAACTGATAGAGATAACCATACCAAATGGATACTCGAATGAATTATTATCATTTTTTGGACAAAATTTTTTCAGACTATATTAACATTAATTTATTTCCTTCATTTCCAGATAAAGAAACTCAGTTTCAAAGAACTGAGATTGTGTGGGAAAAAACAGGACCTGTAAATCTAGATCCATAATGTATCACCTCTCTGGATTTTTTTTTTTTTGTGTGTGTGTTACTGTTTTATTGAAGTAGCATTGGCTTACAGCAGCTTATGTGATTCAGAGGTGTGGCTCACACCTGCTCAGGTGTATGTTCCCAACCACCAAGGCACCCATTGTCCTCCAGCTGATCACTAGATCATTTTAAAAATATTCCATAAGTTTTTTCATAATTTAAAATTTTAAAAAAATTTCATAATTTGAAAAAAATATTTTTTTATTGAGCTAATGTTGGTTTACATTGTTGTTTGTGTTTTGGAAGTGTAGGGTCCCCCAGGAGGCTGGGAGCACAATGGCAGATGGTGGTGGACTACAGCTTCTTGGGGGGGGGTGGCACTGTGGTAATATCACTGGTAATGGGGAGCCTATCCTTTTTAAAAAAGATTTATTTATGCACACAAAAACTGGGGTGTTGGCCAGAGATGCAGGTGGGCATGTGGGTTGAAAGGATTCACCAGAGACAGAGTTGGGGAGAAGAACAGGAGGATCTACTGAAATACACTGCTGAGGGGAGCAGTGGGTGAGACAGGAGAGGTCTGCTGCGCCAAATGGCTTCAGAATGAATTACTTAAGGCCAAAACTCCAGTAATCACCCCTCAGGTCAAGAATTAGACCTTTGTAGCCACCGCAGAAATCTCCATGTGCCTCAGGCCAATCAAATCCTCTCCCTTCTCCCAAATGGAATGATAGATTGATTGTTACAGTGACCACTTTCTTTTTTTGGTATTTTTAGCCTCTTCACTCAAGTATTAATTCTGGACACTCTTGCTTAGTTGTCTTTTATGTCTCTTGTACTTTACATGTTTTTCCTTCACTCTTTCGTTTGAAAATCCGAACAATTTGAGCTGCAGGGTTTCCCAGGGTCTGGAATTTGCAGATTACACACATCTGGTGCAGTCTGACAAGACCCCATGTCCTCTGCATTTCCTGCAAGTTGTCCCCCGGATTCAGAGGCTGAGTCAGACTTAGATTTGGTCCCTTTGTAGCTGGTATTGTGTTTTTTAACCATGAACCCTGTTCAGTTACTGTTTCTCTGACGCTAATAACCATTGATGCTTGTCTTCTAGGTCCTTTAATTTTGGGGGATTGAAAAATGGGTATATTCTAATTTTATCATTCCATGTTTATTTATATGCCTTATTGCTTTTATAAAGAGACATTTTCCTTCATTTACTAAGGGGTTGCCAGTGGCACTGTGGTGAGAAAGAATATTTTCTCTTTTCCTCTATTTACTAGTGTTCAAATTAATTTTTTATCTACTATTATCCAAAGGTGTGCAATTAGATTTACTTTTTACTTTTTGTATTATTATAAACTCAAGGGTTAAAAGTAGTTGATGGATTTTATCCATGTTAAAGTTCAAATGTTTCATTTTTGATGAATGGAAACTTCTTCGAGTGACTCCAGTATTGTTTTGACACAACCTTTTGAGAATTTCTTTGTTAGCTGTTCTGACAGAACATTCCAGGTTCATTCTGCACATTTCCTGCCAGACCTGGAATCAGTCATTTTTCCAGAAAGCCCTGGTTTACTTTAATGGGAAATGCCATTTAATACCATAATCCAGAATTAGAAATTGGTAGAATTGGTAGAATTACCAGGGCTTTTCAGTGGAAATATAAATAGTTATACTTACATACATTTTTACATTTGTATAAACCAAGATTTATATGTGTATACATTTAAAAAGTTTAGTTTCCTTTATATTACATTTATATCTCCTTTCCTCCAACAAGAATTCTGGTTTTCAAGGACATAGAGTTAACCACAATTAGAATATCTATCCCTACTTACTCACTTGCTTTACCCAAATTAAGATACATACATATATATACATATATGTATGTTTGTGTATATGTACATGTGTGTGTATGTGTGTGTGTGTGTGTGTGTGTAAAACAGTTTAAGGATAAAGAAACTTATACTACTACCATTAAACACTTCGTCGCCCCATAATCCCCCCTGTCTATGACATAGACTCCGTGTTCAAAGACTTTATGTAGAATTAAGTGGAAAGAATATAGATCATTTGACAACCAATAGTAAAGGCAGCTGCAAGAAGAGACTAATTTGAATTAGTGAATATACAGTCAGCACCCTGTCATGATAAAATGCTCAAAAAATAATAATAGAGGGGAAGTTTCCCAATTTAATAAAGTGCATCTACAATAAACATTAGTTTACTGAGTGTTCTCTCTAAGATCAGGAACAAGGCAAGGATGTCCCTCTCACACTCTCACTCGTCACAGTGTTGGGAGTTCTAGCCAGTACAGTAAGCAAGAAAAGGAAACAAAAATAAAGCACACAGATTGCAAAGGAAGAAATAAAACTGTCAGATGTCATGATTGTATATGTAGGAATTCTAAACTAGAACGAAAAGGTGAGGTTACAGGATACCAGATAATTATACAAAACTCAATTGTATTTTTATGTACAAGCAAATGAACACACAAGTACTAAAATTGAAAAATTAAATGTCACTTAAAATCACTCAAGCCTTTCTGGATCTCCCCAAAGAAAATACCTCTTCCAAAGGATGTCCTTATTCCTTTCCAGAAAAGGATAAGAAACACAAAAGGTATCTCTTGCAGAGACCCAGTTCTTGTTTCATTGATGCAAAATGCTCAGGACACAGGTTGTTGGTCAGGCACAGATGTAGGTCTGTAGTTGACTGCTCCCCTGTGCTCTGCCAGCCCTCAGAGCGAAGTAAGTCTTATAGAAGGTGCTCCTCCAGACAAAAGCAGCTCTAGAATCCCTAAATCAAGATAAGTGGGAAAACATACCAATAAATACATTGTTGGATTTTAAAAATAAAATGTTTATGTGTAATTCTGATGAAATGTACAAAATTTCTATGCTGAAAACTGCACAACACTGATAAAAGGAATCAAAGAATATCTAAATAAATGAAGTCACACAGTGTTCATGGATTAGACGACTCAGTTTAGGAGAAAAGCCAGTTCTCCTAAGTTAATAAACAGGTTCCACTCCATTCTTACCAAAAATCCCAGCAATATTTCTTTTAGTTATAGACAAGATTATTTTTAGGTTTATATGGAAAGGCAAGGAAATAGAACCAGTAAAAAGAATTTTGAAAAAGAAAAATGATATAGGAGAAATCCATCTGCCTGATTTTAAGACTGATTTAAAGACTCTGGTATTTGTAGTGATACAGACACATAGATCAATAGACACCAGAAGGCTGAAAGGAAAAATCTCTTTAATAAAGATAACTTAGTCATGTTATTCTACAGTTAATCTGTAAAATATTCTGTACTGGTTGAAATACATAAAGAAAATGTGACCTCACTGAAATATGTAGCTAGAAAGAGGAGAGGTATTACACTCTCAGACTGGATTTCATCAAAATTAAAAACTTGTTTTCTGCAAAAGGTCCTCTCAAGAGAATGAAAAGACAAGTTACAGACTGGGAGAAAAATATTTGCAAATCACATAACTGACAAACAGCAAGTCAGTGGATCTTTATGAAGAACTTTCAAAATTCAACAGTAAGAAGCAATAAGTAACACACTTATGAAAAGTAGCTCTATTTTCTAGCACAGAAAAAAGACAGAAAAGAAGCTGTTTTACAGTTTTAACAATTTTTCTTTTCTTTTTTTTAGTTAGAAGAGCTTTGGCCATTTGAGGTTTTTTTGTGATTCCATATGAATTTTAGCAATATTTTTTCTCTTTCTTTGAAGAATGCCATCGAGACTTTTACTGGAATTGCACTGAATGTGTACATTGATTTTGGTAGGATGGCCATTTTTTAATGTTAATTTTTCCAATCCATGATCAGGGAATGTCTTTCCATTTCTTTGTGTATTCTTCTATTTCTTTTATCAGTGTTTTGTAATTTTTGTTGTATAGGTCTTTCACCTTCCTTTGCTAGGTTTATTCACTCCTGGAGATTATAAACCTGAAATGGCCATCAAGGTGTCAGCAGGTCTGCTTTTCTTCTAGAGGAGAATCTGTTCTTGCTTCTCCAGCTTCCAGAGGCCACCTGCACACCTTGGCGTGTGGTCTCCTCCTAGCAACCACTTCCATCTTACTTTTGCTTCCATTATTACACCTTTGGCTCTCCTGCTTCTCTCTCACACTTACAAAAACTTTTGTGGTTATTTTGGGTCCACATGAATACTCCTGGATAATATCTCTACTCCCCTTAATCACAAAGTCCCCCTTTCCAGGTAAGGTAACAGATTCACAGGCTTCAGGGTTTCATAGTGGGGCCATTCTCCTGCCTACCACACAGGACAAAGTTTTATCTGAATGACTCACAGAAAATGCAAAATAGCTAAATTGGAAAATGTTCTCCTTCTCCTTAAGCCGTCCCTCCACCTGGCCTGCTCTTTTTGATGACTGGAATCATTATCCTTGCTCTCCCACGCATCTTCTACCTTTGCCCTGTCCCTCTCCCACATACAACTGATGGAAAACATCAACTACCCTTGCTTCCTCACATTTCTCTAACTCTGTATCCCCCTGATCATACTTTAGTTTTGGTCCCATCAGGTCTGGCGCATGTCATCTGTGTTTCTAGTTTTCTGTCCTTCTAGCCCATCCTTTCTACCAGAGCATTCTTTCCAACCCTTGAAAGTGTTCATGATAGTTTTCTTATTCTCAGCCTACATAATGGCTCCTACTCACTGTAAAATGAAGCCCAAAGTCCTCATGAGACCTCTG